ATCTCCTTTATTGTTCCTGATGGAGCCTATGGAGATTTCTTTTCTGCTTTTCGTAAGTCTAGCAAAAGGTGTTTCATTTTTTTATTTTTCAAAGAACACAACTTTTTGTTTTGTTAATCTTCTGCATGGTTACCTGTTGTCAGTTTCATTTAGGTCTGATTTGATATTAATGATTACTTTTTCGCTGGGTTAAGGTTAGTCTGTTCTTTTCTAGCTTTGAAGATTTATTGGGTTGTCTATTTGTGATCTTTTCAACTTTTGGATATAGCATTTATAAATACACTGTTCCTCTCAGGACTGCTTAGCTGTGTTCCACAGTTTTGATAACTTGTGTCTCCTATGTCATTTAGTTCAAAGAATCTTTTGGATTTCCATCTTGATTTCCTTGGTTATGATGTGGTCATTTAGCGAAGTCGTTTGGTTTCCATGACTTTGTGTAGAAATGAGAGTCCTGTTAGGGATTGATTTCTACTTTTATTCCATTGTGATCTGAAAGATACATGGCATAATTCTATTTTTTTGAGTGTTGAGACATGTGTGTGTCTTAGGATATGGTCAATCTTAGGAGAATGACCATGAGCTGATGAGAAGAACAATATTCAGTGGTTTTGTGATAGAATGTCCTGTAATGTCAGGCTTATTTTTTTTTTTTAGAGTTCACTTGAGTCCTGTGTTCTGTTGATTTTTTTTGGAGGATCTGTCTTGTGCTGTCATTGGGTATTTAAATGTCCAACATTATGGTTGTTGTTTATCCATTTGTTTAGATCAGTAGAGTTTGCTTTATGAATCGGGTGCACTAGATTGGGTGCATATATATTTAGAATTGTTATGTCTTCTTGAACTGTACACTTCACCATTATATAGTGACCTTCTTTGTCTTTATTACTTTTGTTGATTTAAAAACTAAGTTATCAGTAATCAGCTCCGCATTCCAGCTTTCCTTTGGCTTCCGTTTGCTTGAAATGTTCTCCACCCTTACTTTGTTCTATATTGCATCCTTGCAAGTTAGAGTGTTTCCTGAAGGCAGCAGACACTTGGCTTGTATTTTTTTATCCATTCAGCCAGCCTATGTCTCTTGAGTGGGAGTTCAAGCCATTCACATTATTGGATACTGAAGGTGGGCAATTTCTGGTCATTATGTTGGTTCAACTTTGTTGCTTTTTTTTCTCTCTTGAGCCATTGTGGTTTCTGGGCTTTGATCTTTAGCTTTTGGAGTAATTACATTCGTGACGTTTATTGTGTGTCCATGGTAACACTTGTTTGAGTACTTCCTGAAAGGCTGGTGTTGTTGGTGAATTTCTCAGTCTTTGCTATCTGAGAATGTCTTGGTTTCTCCTTCATATTGAAGGAATAAGATCTAGGCTGGCCATTATTCTGTTCAGAAGAGTGAGAATGGGCCCAGTTTCTCCTTGCTTGTAAAGTTTCAGTAGAGAAGTCTGGCGTTATTCAGATTGGCTTTCCTTGGTATGTGACTTGCTTCTTTCACCTTACAGCTCGTAGAAAGGCCTCTTTATTTGATATTTTGGTCAGTCTCATGAGTGCATGTCGTGACATCTTTCTGTTTGCATTGAATCGTCCAGGGTTCCTCTGAGCTTCTTGAACTTGTTTATCGAGATTTTTACCAAGGCCTGGGAAATTTTCCTCTATCATATTTTAGAATAGCTTATCCAACCCTTGAGTGTTTTCTTCTTCTCCTTTGGGTATCTCCATAATGCTCACATTATGTTTTCTTACTAATCCACATTCTTGTAGGCTTTGCTCTTTTTTCTTGTTTTCTGTTCTATCTCTGTGACTGATTTATTTAGTTGGAAGGTGCTATCTTCAGTCTCTGAGATTCTTTCTTCTTTTTGATCTACCATGTTCTTGAGGCTTTCCACTGTTTTTGTAGTTCCTGAATTAGATTCTTCATTTCCAGGAGTTTGGTTAAACTCTTCTTCATTGTATTGATTTCTTTAGTGAATTTTTGTTCCAGGCTTTTTGTGGTTCCTTTGTGTTGGTTATTGAGTTTTTCTTGCAGGTCGTTGAATTATCTTTATGATCCACATTCAAATTCCTCTTCTGTCATTTGGTTGCCTGATTGGTTGGTGTCTGTGTTCTAAGGGCTGGTGCTCCTCTTTGGGGGTGGGTGGTTTCTGTTTGGTTCTTCATATTTCCGGAGTTCCTTCTCTGATTTCTTCTCATGTCGATCAGTTGTTGCTTTTGTCCTTTAGGTTTTTGTTTGGGTATTCACACACCTTGTTTAGTTTCTGAGCTGGTAGGTGGTGTCTGTGAGTGAGATTCGACCACTGCCTGTATGATGAGTCAGTAGGTGCCGTGGAAGGGGTGTGCAGAATGTCCTCCCTGTCAGTAGGTGGCGCTTGCTTGGAGGAACTGGCTACACTGTTGTTTTTGTGTCCTGTAACCAGCTCTTGTTCCTCTAGAGAGGCACTCTAGTGCTTCAGGTTGTAGGTGGGGCCCTGGGACTTCCAGGTGTGTCCTTTTCTCCTCCTCAGTGAGGGCTGGCCTGGGAGTGAGTCTTGGTGGAGCTGGGTTGGGTAAGCCTGCCCTCAGGCACCACTAATGCATAGCAGGGTCAGAGTTCTGTTCTCTGCTTCCGGGAAAGCTGTCAGGGAGGGGCTGGAATGGTCCCACTCAGTCAGAAAGTCTGCCTGAGTGGTGGGGCTGTCTGAGACCTGCAGTCTGGAGCGGGCCTCGCTCCTTTCCATCCTCCGATCTCTGTGGCTACTCCTGGGCCTTTGCCAGCAGGCCAGACTTCATGCCACCTGGTCTCCCGTAGGTGTGATGTGGGCTGGGAGGTTCCCTGTACGGGAATGCCACATGAGCTGGGCACATGGCCCTGCCTTTTGAGGAGGGTTGCCCTCAAGCACGCTTATCTGCCCTTAAAGGCACACACACATCGGTAGGCTGTTCACGAATATCCCTTCTGTGCCCTGGGCAGTGTCAGAGCTGTGTGCACGGGATCTGGTTTGCAGGTCTGATCTCTGGGCCCCGGCATTCCATCCCTGACCCCACCAGGGAGAGGAGTGTCAGTCCCAATTCACCCATGGGTGCCCAAGCTGGGTCGATATCTCTTAGCCTCAGTGTCTGCCCTGTTCTCTTGGAGTCACTGGGCCGGCAGCGCCTGGGAGGGCTGGCGGGTAGGGAGTTCACAGTCTGAGTACCCCTCAGTCAGCTGAAGGGCTCCAAAAGGGAAGGTCGTCCCGTTCCCTGGTGATGCCTCTGGCTGGTGGCTATATTGTCTCTCTCAGCAGCCACAGTTAGGGTTGGGGGAGGGGAGAATGGAGCAATGTGGCTCCTGCTGTGCGGTTCAGGTCTGTGCACACGGAGGTGCCCTGAGGGAGTTGGGAGCCTGGTGCTGTGTCCGCTTACCGCTTACCGCTCACCGCTCACTGGTGGTAGCCATCTCTGGGCTGGTGTCCGCAGGTCTCTCTACCTGCTGGGGAGCCCACCAGCAGTCCGAGATGCATGGGAGGGGAGAGTTAACAGCTCCACTACCCTTGCCGCTGGTCTCCAGGCTGCTCGGGAGGTCTCTGCTTCCAGTTCTCCTCCGCACCCTCCTCCTGTGGAGTCTCCCATAGTCTCTGGCACCCTTCCTTCCAACCCTTGGCCGATGTGTGCTTGTCTGCCTTCTTCTTTCTTGTAATTCCTTCTAGAAACTGTCTTTTTTGCAGAGACACTCTGTGTGGCAGTGTTTCTTCTCCGCCATCTTGTTCCGCCCTCCCTGTTTTATTTTTATTCTTCATTTCTTCTGGGATTACTTTTACTCAGATACCGGGTTTCTTGTCCTGGTCCTGTTAATTTCTTTTCTCTTTTTTTGTTGTTTGTTTTCTCTTGTTAATGTGAGTTAATTTTAAAGCAATTTACTGAAAACGACTAAATGGGATTTTATGGCCCCATAATCACAATGTCCTCATCCTGACCTTTTTATTAATTTTTAGTAAATGGCACATGCAAATATCCTCATACCAGTAAGAATGCCATCTAGTTTACAAAAGACCAAGGAGCAGGCATTGAGCATACTCAATATGCCTTGCCTAATCCTGTTTTGTTTATAGTTAAGAATGGGGGACTAAAAATCCTTTTGGAAGCTTTTGAGTACATGAGTGCATCTTGGAGATTGTGGGGTTCACTATAGGGTGATTTGGCTAGAATGTTGCCTTGGCAATCCCATTAACGTCAGTACCTCAAGTTGTCTTCTCCTCGCTGGTCAGATGCCCCAGAGAAAGATTATTCATTCATTTAAAATATATTTATTGTGTGTATTCTCTAGTCACTGGGATATAGCAGTGAACAAAACTGACAAAAAATCCTCTCATGGAGTCCATATTCTGGTGGAGGATATTGTCTATAAATGAGATAAATATATGCAGTATGTTAAGTAATGATAAGTGGTTAGGAGGAAGAATAAAACTGGGAGGGCAGACATAAAAATATTGGAGGAAGGAGGGTGAAATTAGAGGTAGCATAGCCAGGGAAAGCTTGGCCAGGGAGATGACTTTTGAGCAAAGACCTGAGGGAGGTGAGCAAATGATTTAGGTGTATATATTAGGGAAGAGAGTTCCAGGCAGAGGGAGTAGGTTCTGAGGTATAGGTGTGTTGGGATGACTGAGGAGGAACACAGAGGTCACTGTGGTTCTTTTGTTCACTGTGCTCACTGCCTTACAATCTCCCATCTAAATCTGATCACTGAGTTTGTTATCTATCTATCCTCACTAAAATTTGTTGAATAAATAAATGTAATGCATTTTAGGAAGAGTTTCATCTAGAAGATAAAAAAAGAATCTTGACTTTGTGTTTAAAAGGCATCTCCACTTGTCTAAAAAAAGTAAAAAGGAGATAAGGCATAACTGTATTCTGATTTTAAAATGTTATTTATCTTTGTCATTTTTCTCCCAGTTTTTGTAGGTTCTCTCAATTCAGTTAAGATTACTTATAGAAATAGGAGCAATGTGTTCTATTTTTCCTCAAGTACATTTTATAACTTGTACTTTTTCATTTAGGAAGAAAGGTTTTGGTGGGACTGCAGGAATGGCATTTGTGGGAACGGTGTGTTCAAGGAGCCACGCAGGCGGGATTAATGTGGTATGTTGTTCTTGATGTTCAATTTTGGATATTCGTATTAGGATACTATCAAGCATATTTTGACTCTACGCTTTCCCCTGGTCCTTAAAACAATATTTTGAGTGTTACGAGGAGCAAAGTGGAAGTGGCAGATGTATTCTATCCCTAGCGACTGGATCACATTTTCTTATATTTATTATATGTTTATTAGCTCTTACTTTTTGTGGATTAGGAAACAGAGGCTCCGTTTGAGAGAATTAAGTTAGAACCATTTATTAGTTGCTAAAGTAATCTATTGCTTAAAGGATCCATCTCCATCATCAGTGTGTGATTCATACCAGTTTCTTACTAGACTGAAATATATAATATGAAGACTGTTGTTAGATGCTTGATTTATAGTATAGGCTGTCAACATTGTAGTGAATAAATTTCCTTTTATGAAAAAATAATCCGAGAAGCAAAATACTTCCTTTTTGTTCAGAAATCTAATTACTACCTTCCTGTGTTTGAACAGTTTGGGCAAATTACTGTGGAGATATTTGCGTCCATTGTTGCCCATGAGTTGGGTCATAATCTTGGAATGAATCATGATGATGGAAGAGATTGTTTATGTGAAGCAAAGAGCTGCATCATGAATTCAGGAGCATCGTGAGTAACTGAGTTCTTTCTTTTTATTCTTCTTAATATGGTATTGTAGACCAGTCTTATTTAACTCTAAGGGATGCTCATGTCTATGTTGAAGAAAACAGGAAACATTATTCCTGGTTCCCCAAAATTAATTACATGATACACCAATGAGAAGTCTATTTTTAATTATTATTATTCATTTTTTGAGACAGAGTCTCACTCTGTTGTTGCCTGGGCTACAGTGCCATGATATCAGCCTGGCTCACAGCAACCTCAAATTCCTGGGCTCAAGCAATCCTCTTGCCTCATCCTCCCTAGTAGCTGGGACTACAGGCATGCGCCACCATGCCTGGCTAATTTTTTCTATTTTTAGTAGTTCCTGGCTAATTATTTCTATTTTTAGTAGAGACAGGGGCTTGCTCTTGCTCTACCTATCCATGAACATGGAATGTCTCTCCATTTATTTAGTTCTTTGATTCTTTCATCAGAGTTTTAAAATTTCTTCGTACAGATCTTGTACCTATTTTGTTAGATTTATACTTAAGTATTTTGTTTTCGGGGGTGCTAATGTACATGGTATTGTGTTTTTCATTTCAGATTTCACTTGTTCATTGTTGGTATATAAGAAAGCAATTTACTTTAATATATTGACTTTAATGTAGTGATACATTAACCTTATATCCTTCAACCTTGCTATGATCGTTTTTTAGTGCCAGGAACATTTTTCAGTGTTTTTGGGTTTTCTGTGTAGATGATAATTCATCTCTGTACAATTTTCTTTTTTCTTTTTATTCAATATAGATTTTATTTCCTTGTCTCACTGTAGTAGCTAAAACTACCAATAATTTGATATTATTTTAGCTTCCCCACATTATTTTTAGCATTGACATGTATTTTTCCATCCTTTTACTTCGAACTTTTCTGTATTTTTATGTTGAAAATATATACTTCTAAACAACATATATTTAAGTTTTATTTTTCAGTATAGCTTGAAAACATTTTTATAATTGTATTTATTTAATATTTTTATGTGTACTATAATTACTGATATGCTATATTTAATCAAATCAGATGCCATTGATTATAAGATACACCATTTTTATATATCACCAAAAAAGAAATATGGTGCCAATTAAATTAATACTTCAGTTGTAAAATGAATCTAAATTTCGGAATTACTGAATGTGATAAGAATGTGTTTTAGAATCAGTGAAATACAATATTTGGGTTTAGATCTGCTATCCTATGTCATTTTTGTCTTTTTTAATATTCTTCTTAAAAATCTTCTGTCTTCAGTGTTTAAGGTGATGGATATCCCAATTATCCTGATTTGATCTTTACAATTATGTGACTGTAACAGATGATCATATGTATCCTGAAAATATGTACATAGTTCTCTCTCTTACTGACCCGCCCTGTGCAGTCTTATTTGCCTGAGGCAGTTACAGCTTAGAGTCCCCAACTTAGTCAATAGCTCTATAGGGCTGGCCCCGCTTGTTACCAGAGGCAAGACATCTAACTGCCTCCCATAACAGCTCAGTTCGGTTTCCTCGCGTCTTGGAGCCGTCCTAGCATGGGGCTCTGGGGAGTTTCCACTAATGGCTGCACTCTCCAGCACCCTCTTCTCCTGCCGCAATTTTGCACTAATTTCAGACCGGTCCCTGGCTAGGTGGGTGTGGAGGTTGATGCGGGGGGAGCAAGGAGTTCTCCTGTGGGTCTGATCCCACTTTACCCCCTGGCCTGGCAGGCCGGTGCCCTCCCATGAGCCCTGTTGTTTGTTTTGCACTTTCCAGAGAACACGATCTTATCTCCCGATCACCTTGTTTTTTCCTTTTTTGAGATTCCCGTGCTGAAGCTCTGCAGATTCTCGATGCTGTCCTTATAGAGGGAGATCCACTCGGGTGTAGGAGACCAAGATCTATGTCTCCTTCTCTGGGAGCAGGAGTCTGGGGGGTTACCTTTACTCTGCATTTTTTCTCTTTCTCACAATATTATTAACTATAGTGTAGCTCTCTAGACTTGTTCATCCTACATGTCTACTACTTTGTGTCAGACCTACATCTCCCCATTTCCTCCCCCTCTACCATCATCACTGTTTTATTTTCTATTTCTGTAGTTATTTGATTGTTTTTTTTTTTTTAGATTCCACATAGAAGTGAGATCATGTAATATTTTTCTTTTTGTGTCTGGCTTCTTCCACTTAGCTTAGTGTCCTCCATGTTCATCCATGTTGTGGCAAATAGCAGAATCTTCTTCAGGCTGAATAATATGGAACAATTTACCCATTCGTCCATTGATGGGAACTTTGGTTATTTGTGTATCTTGGTTATTGTGAATCATGCTACTTGGGACATTGGAATGCAGATGTCTTTATGAGGTGTTGATTTCATTTCCTTAGGGTGTATACCCAGTAGTAGGAATGCTGAATCATATTGTAATTCTATTTTTACTATTTTGAAGAATTTTCATGCTATTTTCTACAATGTCTGTACTAGCCTATTAATATTAATACATTCCCACCAACAATGTACAGGGGGTCCCTTTTCTCCATGCCCTTACCAGCAGTTATCTCTGGTTTTTTGATGATAGCCATCCTAACAGGTGTGTCATGATATCTCATTGTGGTTTTTATTTGTCTTTCCCTGATGATTAGTAATATTGAGCACCTTTTCATATTCATCTTGACCATTTTTGTGTCATTTTTGGAGAAATGCCTATTAAAGTCCTTTGCCTATTTTATAAATTGGGTTGTTTTTCTGCTATTGAATATTCTTTATATATTTTAGATAGTAACTCTGTTAAGATATATGGTTTGCAATTATTTTCTCCCAGTCTGTAGGCTGCCTTTTAATTTTGTTGGTTGTGGGTTTTTTTTTTTTTTTTTTGAGACAGAGTCTCACTCTGTTGCTTAGGCTAGAGTACCGTGGTGCCAGCCTATCTCACAGCAACCTCAAACTCCTGGGCTCAAGCGATCCTTTTGCCTCAGCCTCCCGAGTAGCTGGATCAGGCATGTGCCACCATGCTGGCTAATTTTTTTTTCTGTATATTTTTAGATGGCCAATTAATTTCTTTCTATTTTTAGTAGAGACGGAGTCTCACTCTTGCTCAGGCTGGTTTCAAACTCTTGACCTTGAGCAATCCACCCACCTTGGCCTCCCAGAGTACTGGGATCACAGGTATGAGCCACCTCACCTGGCCTTTGTTGGTTGTTTCCTTTGCTGTGCAGAAGGTTTTTCGTTTGATAGCTTATAGTAATCAGAACAATATGAAAATGGTATAAAAACAGACACACAGACCAATGGAGCAGAATGGAGAACCCAGAGTTCAATCCAAACATATATAGTCAATTAATTTTTGACAAGGGCACCAGGAGGACACAATGGGGAAAGGGCAGTCTTTTCAATAAAAGGTGGTGGGAAAATTGGATTTCTATATGCAAAAGAATGAAATTGGACTCTTATACTGTATACAAAAGTCAGCTTTCAATGGATAAAATATCTAAATGTTAAGACTTGAACTCATAAAACTCCTGAAAGTAAGTGTCAGGGAAAAGCTCCTTGACAATTGCCTTAGCAATAATTGTTTGAATATCATATAAAAAGTTTGGGCTACAAAAGCAAAAATAAAATAGGACTACACCTGGCGAAATTTTAATGTGTTGTTGATTTCTCAAAGATTTGTGGTATACAAGTATATTTTCCTCTAGTTGTCAGAGGTAAAGATAGCCAGTGGAACTATGCGAAAATATTTTGTAGTTACTGAGTAAGATAATAATGAAAAATCCCAGGTCGAACATATTAAAATTGCATTTGTATAAATCTCACATGGACGACTCAAGTTGGACAATTTCTTAAAGCCTGAGCTTCAAACTACTAACTGTGGTTCCCAGGAATTATTTAAAAGGCATTAAAAACTCAAACTGAAGACCTGTCACATATGAGTGGTGGAAATTCTGTGCTGTGCGGTCTGCCGTGCAGTCTGGCTAAAGTGCATCTGTTCTGGAATTGCCTGTTTACATTATTTTTACATGGTTCCCATAAGTGATGGTGGGCATGGGAGGAACATCAGAATGTTATCCTGGAGAATAAAAAAATACTGGAGACTACATGTTGCCACCTTCTAATATTTGAAGAACTTTTGCTATGTTAGATAAATAAAATTTAATTCTGTATTGGACGAGATAATTTTTAAGGTCCCTTCTTAGGCTTTGAATCATGATTTTGTATTTCAGTGTAAGTTATATGTTTTGAAGATATTTTCATGGAGGTGTAATATATTGTAATCAAAATAGCAAACTGCTATGTAGTAACTGAAGTAATATTCTATATTTATTAGGAATAGATATTCTTATTTCTATCTACTTTTGTTAGCTTATTTTCTGCCATTGAAAACATTCACCTTTTTTTTTTGAGACAGAGTCTCTATTGCTGGGGCTAGAGTGCTGTGGCGTCAGCCTACCTCATAGCAACCTCAAACTCCTGGGCTCAAGCAATCCTCCTGCCTCAGTCTCCCAAGTAGCTGGGACTATAGGCATGTGCCACCATGCCCTGCTAATTTTTTTTATATATATTAGTTGGCCAATTAATTTCTTTCTATTTATAGTAGAGACGGGGTCTCGCTCTTGCTCAGGCTGGTTTCGAACTCCTGACCTTGAGCAATCCGCCTGCCTCGGCCTCCCAGAGTGCTAGGATGACAGGCGTGAGCCACCGCGCCCGGCCAAAACATTCACTTTTAATTGGTTAAAGATGTGACTTAAAATTTTCAAAATGAGTAATCACTATGACATGAGATCTTTTTCTTAATGTTTATTACAGAGGTTCCAGAAACTTTAGCAGCTGCAGTGCAGAGGACTTTGAGAAGTTAACTTTGAATAAAGGAGGAAACTGCCTTCTTAATATTCCAAAGCCTGATGAAGCCTACAGTGCTCCATTCTGTGGTAATAAACTGGTGGACCCTGGGGAAGAATGTGACTGTGGTACTTCAAAGGTCAGTTTAATTTTTGATTTTTGCTTTGTAAAATTACTGTGAGATTTGCAAGAAATAAAATTGCTTATTTTGGGCAACTCTGGTATAACAGCTGAAGTAAAATTTAGAGTCAAGATGAGGGTTGTTATTTTGCTTGTGTGCCTACGTTCCTGGGCTTGGTCATCTCCTCCCCCTCAGACTGTAAGTAACGGTGGTGTCTGTTTTGAAGTCAGGGAAAGCACCATGTTTGTTCTTCTATTTTTTTGCTGTTATGGTTATTGGCTTATTTATGTACTTTAAAGAACTAATCACTTTTGCACTTGGCTCTTTACTTGTAAGCTTCCAGCATTCTGGCCCTGCCATTGCAGAAATATTTATTCAGTTGGACTCATCTTAAAAATGAATTGAAGCTGGCTTGTTCTCCAGAGCCCGTCAGTATCAAAAATCTCGCTACTCAAACTAGCATTCTCCTTTGTTAACCTTCAGTTTACTTACTTATCTCTGGCTTTATCGCACCTGTCATGCACACTTACTGCCACACGCCCTTACCCATCTTCATTATTACTGTTCTGTATCCAAATTCCTCTCAGAAGGGCCTGCGTAAGCGGAACCCAGGTCTTGCATTAAGTTTTATTTATTTACATTACATTTTAAAGACATTTGCTCAGTTGTGTGTAAGTCCTACTGTATTCTGAGCCTTTTCCCCAAGTGCATCATCTTCTTCCTTACCTGACCACACCTTGGCTTTACCAGATAACTTTGCTTTCCAGAGAGGGAGTATGTGTCCCATGCTGAAGCTGCGTTCAGCCTTACTTGCAGTGCTGATGCGTGCCGGGGACTTCTGGTAAATGTTTTACACAGTATAATCCTTGCAGTAACCCTAAGAGACTGGCATTCTTAATATTCTTATTTTCAAATGAGGATAATGAGACCTAAAGAGGTTATGTTTAATTTCTAAATTAAGATACTATTAAGATAACTAAGACCTTCCTTTTGCCAGGCATTCTTAGACCTTTCTCCTAAATATTTTATTAGTCTTGCTTTCTCCCAGCTGCTTGCTTCACTACCAGACTTACTGAAATAATAATCTATATTTGCCTCTTGAGCTTTCTCACTGCACAATTACTCTTAAAAAAATACTCTCTTCCCATCAAATATCACAGGTATTTTTTTTTGTTATAAAAGTTTCAAATAGTAAATAAAAGGAAACTTACACACCTTTATTTCCCCCATGAATCTTTGACTTCTTTTAGAAATTATTACTCTTATTGTTTGGCATATTTCTTTTTAGATTTTATCCTATACATTTATGTATAGTATGTACATTTATAAATACTGGGTTTGTTTTAGTATTTATTTTTAGTTTTATTTTATTGTGGAAAGAACACTTACAATGAGATTGACCCTTTTAAGAGATTTTAAGTATACAATACAGTATTGTTAACTATACGTACTATGTAGTTCATATCTCTAGAACTTTTTCGTCTTATATAACTGAGACTTGATACCCATCGATGAGCAACTCCCTATTTTACCTTCCTTCAGCCCCTGACAGCCACTCATTGCTTTGTGGAGTTTAAATGTTCTAGATAACGAATATAAGTAGAATCCTACAGGATATGTCTTTCATGACTGACTGGCTTTATTTAGCATAGTACTGTAATCTCAAGGCTCATCCATGTTATCACAAATAACAAGAGATTTTTTCATTTTAGTATCCAGCACTATGTTGACTATAAGTGGCAAGAGTGATTTGCTTTGTTCCTGATCTTAAGAGTTGAAAAGCTTTTAATTTTTCACAATTGAGTATGAGGTTAGCTGTGTGATTTTCATATAAGGCCTTTATTATGTTGAAGTAGTTTTCTTTATTTCTAGTTTGTTGAGTTTTTATCATGAAAGAGTGTTGAATTTTATCAAACTTTCTGCATCTATTGAGATGATCATGTGATTTTTATCTTTCATTTTATTAATGTGGTATATCTCAATAATTGATTTTTATATTGAACCATTCTTGCACAAAGGGATAAATCCTACTAGGTCATGGTTTATATAACCTTTAATGTGTTGGTGAATTTGGTTTGCTAGTATTTTTTCTTTTTTTTGTTTATTTTATTTTATTTTTTGAGACAGAGTCTCTATTGCTGGGGCTAGAGTGCTGTGGCATCAGCCTAGCTCACAGCAACCTCAATCTCCTGGGCTCAAGGAATCCTCCTGCCTCAGCCTCCCGAACAGCTGGGACTACAGCTTCCATCTTGATTCCCTCAGTCTTTGCTTATCTGAGAATGTCTTGGTTTCTCCTTCGTATACGAAACTTAGTTTTGCAGGGAATAAGATTCTAGGCTGGGCGTTATTCTGTTTCAGAAGAGTGAGAATGGGGCCCCAGTCTCTTCTTGCTTGTAAAGTTTCAGTAGAGAAGTCTGGCGTTATTCAGATTGGCTTTCCTTGGTATGTGACTTGCTTCTTTCGCCTTACAGCTTGTAGAAGGGCCTCTTTATTTGATATTTTGGTCTTTGTGATGAGTGCATGTCGTGACATCTTCCTGTTTGCATTTAATCTCCCAGGGGTCCTCTGAGCTTCTTGAACTTGTATATCGAGATTTTTTTCCAAGGCTTGGGAAATTTTCTTCTATCATATCTTTGAATAGCATATCCAACCCTTGAGTGTTTTCTTCTTCTTCTTCTTTGGGTAACCCCATAAGGCTCACATTTGGTTTCTTTACCTAATCCCACATCTCTTGTAGGCTTTGCTTTTTCTCTTGTTTCTCTGCTCTATCTCTGTGACTGATTTATTTAATTGGAAGGTGTTATCTTCAGTCTCTGAAATTCTTTCTTCTGTTTGATCTACCCTGTTTTGAGGTTTTCCACTGTGTTTTGTCGTTCCCTGGATTGATTCTTCATTTCCAGGAGTTCAGTTAGACTTTTCTTCATTGTTTCAATTTCTCTAGTGAATTTTTGTTCCAGGTCCTGGAGTCTTTTTGTGTTTTCTTTGTTTATCCAGTGTTTTTTGCAACTCGTTGAATTTTCTTACAATCCACGCTTGAAGTTGTTCGTCTGACATTTTAGTAGTCTGATTTTCGTTGGTGGACACTTCTACCAATGGTGGACATTTTTAAGGGGCTGGTGATCCTCTTCAGAAGTGTGCTTTCTGTTTGAGTTTTCATATTTCCAGAGTTCCTTTGCTGATTTATTCCCATCTGGATTGGTTGTTGCTTCTTTCCTTTAGGTTTTTGTTTGGGTAATGACACACCCTGTTTAGTCTCTGAGCCAGTAAGTGGTGTTTGTGGGTGAGATTCAACCACACCCTGTAAGATGAGTCTGTAGGTGCTGCGAAAAGGGTGTGCAGAATGTCCTCCCTGTCAGTAGGTGGCGCTTGCTTGGAGGAGCAGGCTACACTGTTGTTTTTGGGTCCTGTAACCAGGACCCTGTTGTTCCTCTGGAAAGGCACTGTAGTACCTCAGTTGGTTGTTGAGGCTCTGGGACTTCCAGGTGTGTCCTTATTCTCCCCCTCAGTGAGGGCTGGTCTTGGAGTGAGTCTGGGAGGAGCTGGGTTGGTTTAGCCTGCTCTCAGGCACTGCCAATGCTGTTAGCATGAGTCAAAGTTCTGTTCTCTGCTTCCAGGAAAAGCTGTCAGGTTGGGGCTGGAATGGCCTTGCTCAGTCAGAAAGTCTACATGTGGGGTGGGGCTGTCTGAGACCTGCAGTCTATAGCAGGCCTGGCTCCTTTCCACCTTCCCCAACTCCGCGGCTCCTCCTATGCCTCTGCTAGCAGGCCAGACCTCATGCCACCAGGCCTCCCCTGGGTGTGATGTGGGCTGGGAGGTTTCCTGCGCAGGGTTGCTGCCTTGGCTGGGCACATGGGCTCCCTTTGGGAGGAGGCTTTTCCTCAAGCACGGTGGTCTGCCCCTGAAGGCACACACACCTCAGTAAGCTGGTCACGAATATCCCTTCTGTGCCCTGGGCAATTTCAGAGCTGTGTGCACAGGATCCGGCCTGCAGGTCTGACCTCTACGCCCCCGAATTCAATCCCTGACCCCACCAGGGAGAGGAGTTCCTGTCCCAATTCACCCATGGGTGCCCACGCTGTGTCGATGTCCCTCAGCCTCATGGTATGCCCTGTTCTCCTGGAATCACTGGGCTGGCAGCACCTGGGAGGGCTGGCGGGTAGGGAGCTCACAGTCTGAGTACCCCTCAGTCAGCTGAAGGTCACCAAAAGGGAAGGTCCTGTTTCCTCGTGATGCCTCCGGTTGGTGGCTATATTGTCTCTCTCGGCAGCTATGGATAGGGAGGGGGCAGGGAGAATGGAGCAACATGGTGCCTGCCATGTGGCTCAGGTCTGTGCACACGGAGGTGCCCCTAGAGGTTTGGGAGCCTGGTGCTGCGTCTGCTACAGGCTTACGCCTCACTGGTGGTAGCTATCTCTGGGTTGGTGTCTGCAGGTGTCTCCACCTGCTGAGGAGCCCACCAGCAGTCTGAGATGCAAGGGAGGGGAGAGTTAACTGCTCCACATACTCTTGCCGCTGGTCTCCAAGCTTCTTAGGAGGTCTCTGCTTCCAGTTCTCTACAACCTCCTACCGTGGAGTCTCCCATAGGCTCCGGTACCCCTCCTTCCGACCCTCGGCCGATGTATGCTCCTCTGCCTGCTTCTTTCTTGTAATTCCTTCTAGAAACTGTCTTTTTTGCAGAGACACTCTGTCTGGCAGTGTTTCTTGTCTGCCATCTTGCTCTGCCTATCTAAGGACTCTTTACCTACTCGAAAGTTGCAAAAGTTTTCTCCTGGGAGTTTTGTAGTTTTATGTTTTACATTGAGGTCCATGATTCATTTTGAGTTTTGTTTTTTTTTTTGTATATTTTAAGATATGGATTATGGTTCTTTATTTTAAAATTTTTATTGGAAGCTGACAGGAAGTTGCAAAGATGGTGCCAAGTCCCATGTGCTTTTCGAAAACTCAGTTTTCCTCAATGATGACATCTTACAAAGCTGTAGCACAACATAAAAAACAGGACGTTGACATTGCTATGTTAACATAGAGGAGAATGTGTTGCTGTGGGTGGGAGGTTGAAGGTAAGGAGAAGCCATGGTGCCCCAAGGTATAGTGAGAGAAGTCAAGCAAGATAAAAGGAGTGTTCGCCAAGAGTGAAGAGCCACCCACCAGAGAAGTCAGACCCTGAGCTTGCAGAGAAACGCCTTTATGGATGCTTACTTCACTGTGATCGCTAAACACACTGCTATGGACTGAATGTTCATGTGGTCCCTACATTTGTATGTTGAAGCCCTCACCACCAGTGGGGCTGCATTTGGAGATGGGTCCTCTAAGGAAGTAATTAAGGTTAAAGGAGGTAATAAGGGTGGGGTTCTGGTCCCATAGGATTAGTGTCCTCATAAGAAGAGATATCAGACATCTTGCTCACCTTTTCTTTATGCATATACTTTGAGGAAAGGCCATGTGAGCACACAGCAAGAAGGCAGCTACCTGCAAGCCACAAAGAGAGACTTCCCCAGAAACTGAAGTAGTGGGGACCTTGATCTCAGACTTCTAGCCTCTAGAACTGTGAGAAACTGAATTGTTTAAGTCACCCAGTCTATGATATTTTGTTATGACATTCTGAGCAGACCAAGTAAGGCACATATTCTATGACTTCAGTCCTTGAAATATGTTGAGTCCTAAATATTTGTAGCTAAAGAGACACTGATAAGTCCAGAAGGATAGCAAGCAACTGTTCCTGGAGGTTAACTGTTATAGCCATGTTAAAATGAAGTATACATTAGGTCTAAGATAAGATTTTTATTAATGAGTCACTGTCACTAATTCATTTCTTTATTGACAGTCATTTTATATTCGCAGGAATGTGAATTGGACCCTTGTTGTGAAGGAAGTACTTGTAAGCTTAAATCATTTGCTGAATGTGCATATGGCGATTGTTGTAAAGACTGCTGGGTAAGGAATTCCTCACAGTTAGGGACAAAAATATGGAAAAAGAAAGATCTGTGTATATCAAAATTTGTTTTCTGAAATCTCTAGGGGAGCACTATTTTTATTTTATGATTGTGGGAAAAATTTTATGCCACTTGTTTGCAATTTTAAAGCACATTCTTTTATGATAAATGGTCTACTGAGATTTTTTTTCCCTAAGTGGAAACATTTTCCCCCTGATTTTTAGAGTAATATATGCTTGTTAGAAATAATTCAACAATACCAAAGTATGGAAAGTAGCAAATGAAACACCTGCTATCATTTTATACTCCTCAGGTAGCTATTTTTGATAATTTGTTAACCAGTCACTTTTTTCTAGACAAATGTGGGTGTGTATGTGTGTGTGTAAGTGAACACAGATACACATATTTTTACTACCTACTTTTTTCCAATAAGATACTATAGACTTTTTTTTCATTTATATAGCTCTGTATAGTTAATATTACTTTGTATGGTTATACCATAATTTCTTTATGTAGTCAACTAATGAGGGACATTTAGATTGCATCCAGTTATTGCTTATAAGAGAAATCACTGGGGCAGAATGTGCATATTAAAATTTTTGATACACGTTTTATATATCTTCCACAAATGTGCCAATCTGTATTTCTACCAACAGTGTTATCAAATATTTATTTTCTTATGCCAAGATTTGTTACTAGCAAGTGCTATAATTCTAGTTAATTCAATAAATAAATAAATAACTTTTGTGTTTTTATTTAATTTGCATTTCTTTTGGTTATACAGCGAGGTTATGTTTTTTCATTTTCCATATTACACCTTACACGAATTGCCTATAATTGGATTTTGTTCATTTTTCTACTGGGTTATTCAATCTTTTGGTATTGTTAGAATCCTTCATAGAAATAAATACTGTGGTTTCAAATTTGATTAATTTGTGCAAATTGTTCTGCTATTTCTTTTTAATTTGAATCTCGTTTCCCTAGTTCCTTCCAGGAGGTACTTTATGCCGAGGAAAAACCAATGAATGTGATGTTCCAGAGTATTGCAATGGTTCTTCTCAGTTCTGTCAGCCAGATGTTTTTATTCAGAATGGATATCCTTGCCAGAATAACAAAGCCTATTGTTACAATGGCATGTGCCAGTATTATGATGCTCAGTGTCAAGTCATCTTTGGCTCAAGTAAGATATTATTATTTCTAATTGAAAACTTCGGTTTTGATTTAAATTTTTTAAAAAAGGAAGGAAAACATTATTGATAAAGCTGAAGCTGTCGTTTCCCATCATATGTCCCTTTTTCTCCCATCTGCCTTCGTATCCAGAGGCAATGATGGTCATGAACTTAATATGTCCAAATTCAGTTGATGTTTCTTGCTTTTACTCTCTCTGTCTTTATCCTTTGTGTATAAAGTACATATACATATATAGTGACATTTTTTAGTTTTGATAATATGAAGTTGTACACATGGGTCTGCTGTTTGCATTGTTCACTCAGAACATTCTTAAGATCCATCTATATTGATTTGTTATATCATAGTATATTAGAGTATTCCATTAGATAAATGGAGCTTGATTTAGTTGTATATTCTCTTACTGATAGCTATTGAGGATGTTTTTAATTTTTTCTGTTTTTTTCTTTATAAAATTTTGATTTTTATAAATGGCAAACATGTAGATTAAAGAGCCAAATTATTATGTAATGTATTATTATTTAATATGAAAAAAGAAGGCCTATTCCTACCCAGTATCCTCATCTGTTAAGGCAACCATTTTTACCTTTTCTACATGATTTTTTTGTTACTTGCTTCAGGTGTTTACATAATCTCTTGGTAATGCTACTTTTTGACCCTTTTTGATTCTAGGCAGTGTTCACTGTGTATTGTGGAATAGCCATGTTAATGCTATTCACAACTATACTATGTAGTACATTACAATTGCTTTCCTGCCATGTGTTTTCTGTAGAGTTGATAATTCTCTCTCTCTGATTTGGTTAGTTTTCTGTGTACTTACTATTAATTGAACTGCAGATTGTTAGTGAGTGGCCTAATCTTGCCGTGAAATGATTAGAGGCATCAAGATATTCTACTAATTTCAATTTGTTTGAATAAATCTGAATAGGAGACTCCTGTTTCTCTTCACTCTTGACTGGTTCGCCTCTGTATTAGGGTTCTCCAGGGAAACAGAGTCAATAGGGTGTACATATATGTGTGTGTGTGTATATATAGTTAGCACCCCATAATGATGTTTTGGTCAACTCTGGGCTGCTTATCCAATGGTGGTCTCATAAGATTATAATACTGTATTTTTACTGTACTTTTTCTATGTTTAGATAAGTTCAGATACACAAATACTTGCCATTGTGTTACTGTTGCCTGAAGTATTCAAGATTTGTAACCTAGGAATAATAGGCTATATCATATAGTGTAGGTGTATGATAAGCTATACGATTTATACGGTTTGTGTAAGTACATTCTATGATGTTTGCACAATGACAAAATCACCTAACAATGCATTTTTCAGATTGTATCCCTGTCATTAAGTGATGCATGACTATATATAAAGTATGGAGATTTATTATATGAGTCTAATATATAAATGTATCTATATTATATGAATTGGCTCATGTTATTATGGATGCTGTTAAGTACCAGATCTACAGGAAGAGTTGGCAAGCTGGAGACCCAGGAGAGATGATGGTTTAGTTCCAGTCTGAGTTTAAAGGCCCTAAAACCAGTAGAGCTGATGGAGTATTTCCATTGGAAAGGTTTGCAGTTATGTTGTGCTTGAGGTAGGGATTCCTGAGCTCACCCTTTTCTTTCCTTACTTTGTCCATGGCATCAGGAGCAACCAGGCAATCTCATTATACTTGTTAGTTTGACAAAAATGTTTGAAGGCATCATATACTTAGTCACCTAGATCCTTGCTTTTTATAATTGGTTGATGAAGAGTCTCTAGTGGTGATATTTTTGTACCTCTATTCCCAGGTCATGCCATGAACTATCAATAGTCTCTTTAATTCTGGAAATACAGTCATTAGCATCTTTAAAAATCAACCAGATTGGAGAGCCAATTCCAAAATCCTCAGAACTAATTCGGAAAACTCATCCTCAGAATTCAAAATTCTGTTCCCCTAGAACCATTCTGGGTCCAAAGTCTATATTAGTTAGGCTCCAGAGAAACAGTATTATTGAAACATACTATACATATTTCATACATGTAATATCTATTATATATAATATTTATATATGCTTATTTATTATAAATACATGTATATATGTTTATTTATTATAAGCAGTTGGCTCATGTGATTATGGCAGCTGATAAATCCCAGATCTACGGGGTGAAGTGGCAAGTTGGAGGAGACACAGGAGAGATGATGGTTTACTTCCAGTCTGAGTCTGCAGGGCTGATAACTAGGATTGCCAACCATGTAAATTTCAGTCTGAAGGCTGGTAGGCTCAGGACCCAGCAAGAGGCAGTATCCCAGCCTAAAGACCATCAGGAAGAATTCCCTCTTATTCAAGGTAGCCTCTGCCTTTTTGTTCTGTTCAGATCTTCTGCTGAGTGGATAAGGGCCTCCCACAATAGGGAGGGGAATCTGCATTACTCAGTCTACTAGTTTAAATTTTAATATCATCCAGGAGCATCCTCACAGGAAACAACCTAACATCTTGGCACTCCATGGCCCAGTCAAGTTGAATATAAAATTAATCATCATTTTTACCCTCTATATCTAATCTCAACTTTTATCTTGAGATCTCCTTTTATCATTAGTGCAGGGTAGATCTTTGTCTCCTTTTTGAATCTCCTATTTGCTGTTTCCCACATTACCTGCTTTCTTGGTTTATTTCTTCTTTTATATGGAGCTTTCCTTTGAGTAGTTTCCTTAGATAGGGTGAGTTAGAGATACATTTTTTGAGATCCTGCAAGTGTGAAAATGTTTTTATTTTAACTAAATACTTGACTGGTAGTTTGATGGAGTTGGAAATCATTTTCCTTCATGGTTTTGAAGCCATTGTCTAATTGTCTTCTAGTTTATAGAGTTCTTGAGAAATCTAAAGCCAGACTTATATTCTTGTATACGGCCCCCCGCCCCCGAAAAGCTTGGAGGTCCTTCTTCAAGGTGATACGCCTTGATGTGGGTTTGTTTTTATTTATTGTGCTATACTTGGTGAGTGCATTCAATCTGGAAACTCATTTTTTTAGTTCTGGGGATTTTTTCCCCTTCAAAAATTTTTTTTGAGTGGTTTATTTTCCTGGGTCACATATTATTTGGATATTACATTTCCTGGATTTTCTTATCTTTCCTGTAAATTTTTCTTTTAAATCTTTTTTTTTTTTCTGACCTACTTTCTGGACAACTCCAAGTTTACCTTCTAATTCTTTTATTGAGTTTTTCATTTCAGGTACCATAGTTTTAATTCTCAGGAACTTTTTTAATGTTCTCTGAGGTTTTTTTCCCACTTCCTTTTAAGAAATAATCTATTGTTGTTCCATGCATGGAACCTCTTCTCTGATGTTTTTTAGTGATAATTTTAAAAAACATTTCTTTTTTCTGCATAATATCTGTTCCAAGTTACCTTTTTTTTTTGTTTGTATTTCTGTCTTTCATTATTAGCCACGTTCCTGAGATGTCTGATAGTCCTTGGTCCCAGGGAGTAGAATAAGGAGCAGCTGGGAAGCTTTGGGGTCATGGGGGAAGCTTATTAACTGGAAGCTTTCCTGTAGGGTGATATGGCTGGATCTTTTAACTGGGGAAATGCCCAAATCCACATTTTTTAGGTCCCCCTCCACCCCCTGTCTTGGGCTTGTTAGATTTCCTTGTGAAGACCTTATCTATCTTCAGCCTGGGGTGTGTGGACAGGGAAGGCCTGGCTGCCAGCATTCTGGGAGGAATGTGGGGGCAGGGGAAAATAGGGCTGGCATCTCAGTATTGGGTAGGAAAATCCTCAGTTCATCCCCTTGTTTGAAGAACAGTTTCTGTGCTTATTACTGTGCCTGGTATCTCTGAGTCCTGAAACCTTGTGTTTTACTCTCTCCAGAAAATGAACCCATTTGTTTTGCCAGGGTAGAGAAGAGACAGTCATCTGATGCACAAAGAGGGGAGGTGATCTGTGGATCTAACTCTTTTTAAATAGATTTGAAACCTTTTCTCTTTGTTTAAGCCACATGCCACTCCTTACTCTTATATCTGGTGGTGTCTGGTACTACCCATTTCCTATCTTTGTGGATTTCTGTGGTATAAAAGGTGTTGATCTCACTTTTCTCCACTGGCAGCTTAAGATTCTGTTTTTTCAGATAAACTAAGTCATTTACCACTTAACCAGCTGCTTTTCAGCTTCCAAAATTCTATGCTGGCTCCTTTCCGAGTTCCACTGTCTAACTGGGAAAAGGTTTAGGAATTAGAAAAAAGTCTATTTTCTTTGCTTATGTGGGATTTTATGAGGGAGAGAAAATACATGCATGTGTTCAAGCCTTTTACCTGAAGTCTGCCTATGGCTTATGCTTTTAAAGATATAGCCAATTAGCTCAGATGTTATAGGTCTAGTTTTCATTTCTGCGAACTTTTGAACTTGTAGGGTATAAAGGTTTAAAAGTTCTTCGTTGGTTTATGCATTCTCAAAATTATTTTTTTAGTAAATGCTAAATAAATATTTATCAAATAAATGAAGAGTTTGAGAGCTAACATATAAGAGATGTTGATATTTATTATCAAATTTGAGCCTTAAAAAAACCTTATAAGGAAGGTAAGTCTCAGAGAGATATATGGTTTGCCCAAGGTCACACAAACAGAAAGCAGCAAAGCTATGTGATCTCAACCACCGTGAACGTGGTGAGCGGATGAAGACTTTTTGCTAGAATTTATGAAAGACATCACTAAAAGACAATAACTTACATTGATTTATTAATACTTTCTTAAATGGAGGTGGAACATATTTTTTTTAAATATTAAATATACAAATAAGCAAAAAGTAGAAAATAAATATTTTTCATATTCTCAATATTCTGGTTAAGTAACCACTGAAAAATTTGATGACTATCTTTCACATGTTTTATGCATATGAGTGCATGTGTAATATACAAAAATGGGATCATATTGATATATGCTTTAAAACTGCCCTTTTCCCAGTATTAACAATAAATCTTGAATATTTTTCCATGTTGTTAAGTATTTTTCTACAGCACCATGCTAACGATGTGCCACACTAGTTTGCAGTCAACAGTATGTAGTAGTGAATATCGGTATAATTTAGTCATTGCCTTTATTTCTTCTTCAGGATAAATTTCCAGAATCAGAATTCCTGTATTAAAGATTATGTTCTTTAAAGACTTTTAAGATATCCACATAATCTTCAGAAATATTATACCACTTTATACCCTCATTAGTTATGTACCTTGAATATGTTCATGTCCTCAAATATTTCTAACACTATGTTTCCATTTTTAAAACTCTGCTAATTTAATAAATGTAAAACATTTTTATTATTTTAAAATATACATTTTAATTAGTAGGAGGTTTCAGTTCTTTTGTATTCATATTGGTTATTTGTATTATTTCTCTTATGTCTTGCTTGTTCCTGTCCTTCATTTTTCTACTAAGGTATTTATTCCTTATTGCTATTTTGCAAGTTGTGAGTTTTTTTAAGATTAAGGATATTAATTATTTTTAATACATTGTGAACATTTTTTCCCATTTTGACCTTTGTCTTTTAGTTTTGCTGGTGTTGATTTTTGACACAATTAAACTTTTTTCTCATTTATCTTTTCTCTTATGGTTTCTGTATTTGGTGTCATGCTTAGAAATTCCTCTTCCTCAGAATATTTACAAATCATGTGGTACTTAATGTCGAGGATACATTCTGAGAAATGGCTAGGTGATTTCATCATTGTGTGAACATCATAGACTGGTGCTTAATGCAAACCTAGATGGCGTAGCCTTTTACACACCTAGGCTATATGGTAGCCTATTTGCTCCTAGGCTACAAACCTGTACAGCATGTTACTGTACTGAATACTGTAGGTAATTATTACACAATGGTAAGTATTTGTGTCTCTAAACATAGAAAAGATACAGTAAACAGTTTTATAATCTTATGGGACCACCATTGTATATATGGTTTGTTTGTTTGTCATTGAAACATTGTTATGTGGCACATGACTGTAATTGCTCTTCCAACACTATAGTTCCCAACCCCTGGGGCCACAAACCTCCGTGGCCTGTTACGAACTGGGCTGCACAGCAAGAGGTGAGCAGTGGGTGAGCAAGCGAAGCTTCATCTGTTTTTATAGCTGCTCTGCATTGCTCGCATCACTGCCTGAGCTTCGCCTGCTGTCAGATAAGCAGTGGTATTAGATTTGCGTAGGAGCACGAGCACTACTGTAAACTGCACATGCGAGGGATCTAGGTTGAGTGCTCTTTACGCCTGGTGATCTGAGGTGGAACTGAGGTGGTAATGCTAGCTCTGAGGAGTGGCTTTATCATTAGCAGAGAGGTTTGTATAATTATTTCATTATATCTTACAATGTAATAATAATAATAGTGCACAATAAACGTAATGCATTTGAATTGTCTTGAAACCACCCCCTCCCCCATTCTGTGGAAAAATTGTCTTCCATGAAACTGGTCTGTGGTGCCAAAAAGGTTGGAGACCACTGTTCTAGCACTGTTATGCTTTAACTTTATATGTTTAAGTCTTTAATTCTTCTGGGATTTATCGACCAATTTAATTTTCCTACTGATTTGAAATAGTACTTTAATCAACATATTAACTAGCATGTATACTTGGGCCTATTTTTGAATTTTCTGTTCTATACCAGTAGTCTGCTGAAAGAACACAACATTCTTATGATTTCTCTTTTGGCAAAATTATTTGATGGGAAGTCCTGACTTTTATAGTTATTCCATAGGCCAGAATATATGCTCTCAGAAGTTCAGTAGAGGTAGAACATGTGCTGTTCCTGAGGGAATGAGAAGAGGAGAGGCCACAGAGTTAGAAGTCAGACTTTTTCAGGAACTTATACTATATCCCTCAAGTTGTTAACCTTAACCTTTAAGGGGCCATGGATTTCAGGCTGAGATTTTTCTGCCCTAGATAATGGGAACCATGGATTTTAAGTGGAAATGACATGACTGGATTTTCTTTTGGGATTTCTCTGGCAACATTGTGGAGCATAGTTTTGAAGAGCGGGGAAAGGATCTAAGTAGCTGCTGTGTGTTCTGGTAAGAAACCGTGGAGAGTTCACACAGAGGCATGGCAGTACCTCTGGTCAGCTTTATGGTGGTTGCACATTGCTGCGTCTTTGTGTTTCCTTTATTGGCTTTGGATGATCATGGCTGCTCCTGGAAGAGGTTGCTTTTTAGCAGTTAGGCAGATTGCTCTCATTGATCATCGGCAGTGATGATTTATACCCAAACCATTCTAGAGTCCTGTTTTCCCATCTTCTTCCCTTTTTGTTTTGAATTAATAGGAACAGCAACAACAACATGTTCACTTTAACAGAATATGTGAGTGCCATATATTTGTTGAGGTTTATCTTTAATTAAGAAGAGAGAACAGAGCTAGTCACAGGAGTTCTTCTGCTTTCTTTCAGAGAGCTACTGGTAAACTATACCCATTACCTGTCAGGCTATGGGACACTTACTATTTAGTGGGAGGGAGGGAGAGAGGGAGGAAGGAAACTCAAATCCTTACTTTGCCTCTTCTGTTTTTATTTTTTTTTAAATTTTTGTTACATAGTAATATCAGTCATGCTTACAGTACTCGATTTCTCTGAAGCTACAGTTGTTGATTTTGACCAGACCCCTGCATCTCTAATTTCTTTTGTACCCTTGTCTTATAGCAGGTCAGAGAGGGATTAAGGAGAGAAGACTTTCTCAGAAATACATGGGATAGGATGGTAGAGATCTGTCAACTTCTGATATATTTTGCAGGAATAGGTAGGTTATTCCAGACTAAAAAAAGTAATTATGGATAGGCATTTTAATGAGCTGAATACTATTACTTAGAAAAGATATGACTTTCATAGAGGTTTGTGAAAAGGCCTAGGACTAAGAGAGCTGTGGTTGTTTTTTTCTTTATATATTATCTGGAATTTTAATGGCTATTTCTGTCCTTTATAAGAGCTTGGCTGTGGCTGTTGCCATGTAACATTTATCCTGTGCAGGTTTTCTATATTCATTTTTCATGTTATTTGATATTCTGCCTGTTTTTTTTTTTTGCTGTAACTCATTTCACTCCACATCCATTTTTCTTTAAAACTAAACACTAAACAACATAGTATCATATGTGTATGATAGGCACATGAACTTCCTTTATTAAAGAGGAAGTACTGGCATTTTGGCTTAAAACTATTTCTAAATAAAATATTTTTAAGAATGTATAATTAAGTAGAAAAATTGAATTTAAGTGGGATATATATGAAAGCAAGAATAGATTGATCCTTTGTCGTCTGTCATGGGTGTTTGTCAATTTATCTATTTAGTAGGAACACCTAAACTCAGCATCAATATATGGTAAATAAAAAAACAATAAAGTAATAGCTGCAGTGTTTTCTCCAGTCTTTCCTGGCCTGGTCTAACCAGTAGTGCAGTAGTTTTATATGTGAGAACAATGAGAATGAACAGTGCTGCCAATGGTGTCATACTGTGCACAGTTTCAAATTTATTTTCAGTTTCTTGTTTAATGACATTTCTTTTAGGGCCTGAATGTTTAAGTCTAGGCTAACCTTTTGGTACAATCTAAGCTTTATTTTTTACATTTTGTTGTTACATATAAAATGTGGAACAAAAATGTTTTATGTGTAAGGCCTGAAACTTTTTTAGAGGTCAGTTGAGGCAGTAGTACATCCAGGTGTGTAAATTGTCATAGGGAATACTTTTACTGTTTTTGAAGCTAAATTGCCATAACTTTTTTTTTCTTTTTTAAATGTTTAATGTTACAGAAGCTAAGGCTGCCCCCAAAGATTGTTTCATTGAAGTGAATTCTAAAGGTGACAGATTTGGCAATTGTGGTCTCTCTGGCGGTGAATACAAGAAGTGTGCCACTGGGTAAGTGGAGGTGAGGTCATAAAGGAATATGAAAGACATAAGACCAGTCATCTCCAGTACCTTTTATGACTGCTGACTTTCTCCCCCTTAAACAGCTAACTTTTAAAATTTACATTTTACAACCCAAGGCTTCACAGAGATTATGGTATTAGGAAGAGAACTGCTAAAATAATTCATCCCTTTAGACATCAACTGTCTAAAACCTCGTGGTTTTTAGAATCTTACTTTGTTTATCCTTGATTTATAATAAGAACCCCAACTAACCACCTTTTTCATTCTCCTTTCAATAAAAGATTATGTTACTAAGTTCCTAGGTAAATGTACCTGGAGAATTAATTCTGAACTTCATTATTTCCTTCTAGCTCTATACAATTTTAAAATGATGAATTAAAACATTTTTTATTTCTATAATTAACATTTGCTTATTTTAAAAAATTAATGTTATAAAATTATAAAAGAGGAAAAAGTTATTTATAATCTCACTCCATATATGTTCACTAAATTCATTATATTTCCTCCCTTTTTGTTTTTGTGTACTACATATGCTCACGCTGACATTTTATGTAATTGTAAATATTCTGTAATACTGTGCCTGGTGTCTACCCACTCTACCTCCTACACCACCAAGTTAGGCTGAGCAACTGCCGTGAAATAATGCTTGCTAAGAAGAAAGAGCAACAGTGACCTCCATGTTACTAAATCCAACAGTTGTTTTTAGATCTTCGTGCTTCTCGACCCCTCAGTAGCGTTCAACTTTGCTGACCATTTTCACTTTGAAGAAACATCTTTTTTTGGCTTTTGTGTAGAATGTTCTTTTTCTCCTCCTCCCCTCCTTTCTCCTCTCTCTCTTCTTTTTTTCTTTTTCTTTTTTTTCCACATGTGATTTCATTTACTTCTGTGGCTTTACTTGCTTCTATGAGATGCTTCGGCCGTGCTGGCCAGTGTGTGGCTTTCTGCCACGGGGCTCTGCACACACCATCCCTTCTGCTAGGCGTGCTGTCTTCTCTCTTCGCCCAGTCAAATCTGTTCATCCTCCAGATCTTGGATGAAGTATGGCTTCTTTAAGGAAGACCTCCTCCACTCCATTAACAGGGTCAGCCGTCCCCCTTGCGAGAAGGATAATGCTGTTCTTAATGCTGTGTGCTGCTTTTTCTTAGAAGTGGATATGCTGTGTTTTTATTATCGCTTAGTTCATAGTATTTTCTAATTTACATTGTGATTTTTCTTTTGACTCATTGGGTTCAATAACCCAATCATGGGTTATTGAGAGTGCATATTGCTTAATTTCCAAATGGTTGGGAATATTCTGGTTATTTGTTTTTAATTTCTAGTTAATTTGATTGAGAACGTATTCTGTATGATTTCAGGTCTTTGGAACTTATTGAGATGTGTATTATTGCCGAGCATATGGTCTCTTTGGGTGAATTTTCCATGTGCAATTGAAAAAAAAGTGTATTCTGCAGTTGTTAGATGTGTTATTCTATAAATGGAAGTTGATTGTCTTATTTAAATCTTCCATATCTTTGTGTATATATCTGTATGTGTATTTTATGTTTGTTCTTTCAATATATGAGAAAGATGTGTTAAAATCTGCAGTTATTATTGTGAATTTGTCTACTTTTCTTTATAGTTCTATAAATTTTTGCTATTTATGTTTTGAATTTGTTGTTAGGTACATGAATGTTTAGGATTGTTATGCCTTCCTGATGAATTCACCCTTTTACTATTACCAAATTTTCTTCATCTCGATAGAATATTCTTTTGTAATATTTGTCACAGTTTCACTTGTTCTTGTGGCTATTTGGTTATCACTCTTCCTCAGTAAACTGTAAGGTCAAGTAATACATTTTATCTTTTGTGTTTATCAGAATGCCTAGAAGAAATATAATAAATGCCTATTAAATATTTGTTGAATTATGAATGAAGGTGCAGGTGACATAGGTGAAGAATGAATGGGCAGAAAATTAGTATCACTGGTTGAATAAACTGAGCTAAAATCTAGAGATAAATGGATTAATGCAGACTTGGAGGGAGCTTTCTTGACATACCATATCCTTGACTTTAACTTTGTCTGGTTTCATATTTTTATGACTACCTTGTTGAAAATATAGAAACTACACTTATCAAACTTAAAAATTTCTGGGTGGCTCATTGGAGAAACATTTTTTAATAGTAATATAAGGGTAATATAGTCATTAAGAATATACATTTGAAGTTAAACTTCTTGTGTTTGAATCTTGGTTCAGCCACTTGACATCTCTGAAACTTTCATTAAGTTACTTCACTTATATACCTCATTTTTCCCTTTTGCAAAATGGGAATAATAATGGTACCTGTTTCCAAGTGTTTTTTTTTTTGTTTGTTTGTTTGTTTATTTTGAGACAGAGTCTCACTTTCTTGCCTGGGCTAAAGTGCTGTGGCGTCAGCCTAGCTCATAGCAACCTCAAACTCCTGGGCTCAAGCGATCCTCCTGCCTCAGCCTCCCAGGTAGCTGGGACTACAGTCCCATGCCACCATGCCCGGCTAATTTTTTTCTATTTTTAGTTGTTTGGCTAATTTCTTTTTATTTTTAATAGAGACAGAGTCTTGCTCTTGCTCAGGCTGGTCTCCAACTTCTGAGCTCAAGCAGTCCTCCCCCCTTGGCCTCCCAGAGTGCTAGGATTACAGGCGTGAGTCACCGTGCCTGGCCTCAAGTGTTTTGAAGACCGAATGAATTGATGAATGTTAGTACTAAGAAGAGTACCCGGGTCACTGTAGCACTCATCATCATCATCATCATCATCATCATCATCATCATCGCTATCTTTAGTATCATCCTCATCATAGAAAATGTATAAAATCTAGAAAAGTCTAAAGAAAGTAATCATCTGTGGTCCTACCATCCAGAGATACTTGCTTAAGTTTTTGTTGTATTTCCTTCTCATATGTGTATACATTCATGAACATAAGCCATGTGTTTTATGTTCTACATGTTCCCTTTCACTGAAAGGGTCATTTTTTTCTTTCAGTACATAGTGTCATCTTTTTAAGCTTTTTTATAAATGAAAATTTCAAATATACAGAGTAGTAGAAAGAATAGTATGATGAATACCAATATATCCTAGATTAAAGCATTGTAATGTTTTATCATATCTACTTTGTGTAAACAGACTTTGCTGAACCATTTTTAAGTAAATTATAGGTGTTATGATATTTTACTCCTAAATTCTTCAGTATTTACCTCCAACAAATAAGGCTACTTACAATACCATATCACAGCTAACAGAAATCAGTGATTTCCTAATACCATCTATTATCTGGTCAATATTATTAATAATATTTCCCTAATTGTTCTCAAACTCTCATTTATAGCTGGCATTTTTCCACATCAAGACTCAAGGATCACACATTGCATTTAGTTGTTATATCACTTAAGTCAGTTTTAATATAAAATACCTCCTTTCACTTTAGTTTTTTCCTTTCAATGACATTGACATGTGGAAGTGGCTGGGCCAGTGAGCCCATGTTCTGTATTTGTTTGATAGTTTTCTCTAATTGTTGCTTAACTTGTGCCTCTATCTACTGAATTTTCTTTAAATTAGAAGTTAAGTCTGAAATCTTCATTGAATTCAGGTTAATTATTTTTGGCAAGAATGCTTCATAAGCGTTGCACTCCTATCAAGGAGGCACTTAATGCTGGATTGTCTTATTCTTATTAGTGATACTAACGTGACAATGTCCTGAACTTGCTGTGTTGTAAAGTTTTGTTTTTTTCCATTGCAACTATCAGTAAAATGTGGAGTGATTTTACCAGATGAATGTCCAGGTCCCTACCAACATTTCATTTCATGAATGATCCTTGTCTGAAGCAATTATATTATTGAGGGTTGTAATATAATTTTCTTCTATTAATACAACAAGCATCTCTTCTTAGCTTTGTTGGCTGTTTGCATTTCTTATTTTGTGAACTGCCTGTTTGCATCTTTGCTAATTTTTCTGTTGAAGTGATTATCTTTTCTTAATGATTTGTAATAGCTTTTTATATATTAAGAGTATTTTCCTTTTACTCTTTAATATGTCACCAAGACTACATATGAAGTAATAGTGTATCATAGCCATGCAAATTTTAGTAGGCTCCAAAAGATGTTAACTGAGGTCTACTTTATGCTACACTTTGTTTTAGAAGTTTTTGTATCTAATTTCACCAACTATGTGATAGGCATTCTTTATTTCCTTTTCTCAGATGAAGAAACCAAAGCTCAGAAAGTTTAAGCACTTGACTCAGGTCAGGTAGCAAATAAAAGATGATATAAGAATCAATGTAAAGTTGGGACAGAATTATTCTTAAATGCAGGATGGAGGGAAGATGAAGATATAGCAGCACATGTAAAAATTAATTAGCCTTTTAGTGATATTAATATTTAAGGGCATCAGTAATATAAGGTAGTTACCATGAAAGCTACTGTAATCTTGGGCTTAATATAAGTATAGTATCTAGAATAAAAGAGAACTCCATTTTTTCCTTTGCTTGTCAGACTTTCACTGAAATTTCATGCTCTATTCTGAGCACTACACTTCAAGAGTCAGTAAGGCAAACTGGAAGATATTTAGCAGGAGCTTCCTTGTTGCATGAAAAATGATTGTAGGATAGTGCCCTGGTGAAATATTTAGGAGATACATAATGTCCTAAAATAGCTGCCATATGAAAGAAGGAAAAGATATTATCTGTGAGTCTTATGTGGAAGATCTGGGACACATGGGGAAAAGTTATAAGACAGGTGTTTTTTTTTTTTTTTTTTTTTTTTTGAGACAGAGTCTCGCTTTCTTGCCTAGGCTAGGGTGAGTGCCATGGCATCAGCCTAGCTCACAGCAACCTCAAACTCCTAGACTCAAGTGATCCTCCTGCCTCAGCCTCCCGAGTAGCTGGGACTACAGGCATGCACCACCATGCCCGGCTGATTTTTATATTATATATATTAGTTGGCCAATTAATTTCTTTCTATTTTTATGGTAGAGACGGGGTCTCGCTCAGGCTGGTTTTGAACTCCTGACCTTGAGCAATCCGCTCGCCTCGGCCTCCCAGAGTGCTAGGATTACAGGCGTGAGCCACCGCGCCCGGCCAGGAGACAGGTTTTTAACCCAGTAAGTAGAAGGATGTTATGATAGCTAGAATGGGAAGTTTTAGGAAGTGATGAGTTGTAGGTATTGGGAAAAAATATCCTGTGATGACTTGGCAGTGATATCACAGAGGGGATTCAAGTATAGGGTACGTGCTTGGGTCAGGTGATAGTCACTTGAATAGAAAATTTGATTATAGCATCATAAGAATTGATGTTAGGGCTCCTTGGTATGTTATGAAAGGATGTACGAAGGGCATTTAACTCACACATCCTTGACGATAAGAATTGTAGTCAAGGAAACCTTCATAGAGTTCAGATATTGAATTAGTGAATTAATGAGTTAATGAATTGATTCTTTAAAATAACTAAGAGTTAGCCAGGAAAAGAGGGGAGGAGTCTTTTTTTTACTATTTTGTATTACAGAATCTAATTTCTTCTTTACCACCTTACCATAACTCTGTAAGAAGACACAATTGAATTTTGGTATTGGTATATTATTTTCTGTATGATAGCGTTTGTAAAATTATATTTATAAACATCTTTATTACTTAGATCGTTTTGAGCCCTCGGCAGACAGTGAAGAAGGATTAGGTGTGGAGAAAAGGAGCATCAACACCACCTGGTACCCTAGTAATTTGCATCTTGGCATCCATTTATCACGTCTTTTCCCCTTCCCTGTGGTATTTAAAGAGAGCTTCTTTGACATCTGTTGCTTTCATATATTTTCTCTGTTGAGATTCCCTTCAGCTAAATAGCAGTAAACTCTTTCTATATACAACTATATAATTTTTCTTTTGTATAAACACTGGATCCATTTTATGTTTGCATTATCTCTCTATAGGAATGCTTTGTGTGGAAAGCTTCAGTGTGAGAATGTACAAGAGATGCCTGTGTTTGGAATTGTGCCTGCTATTATTCAAACACCTAGTCGAGGCACCAAATGTTGGGGTGTGGATTTCCAGCTAGGAACAGATGTTCCAGATCCTGGGATGGTGAATGAAGGCACAAAATGTGATTCTGGAAAGGTAATCAAAATATTTTCTATTTACAAAGTAAAATGAAATTAAAAAAATTATTATACAAAGTAAATGCTTGCTTCTTTCTGATTATAAAAGAAATCCATATTTATTGTAGAAATTTAAAAAAAATACAAAGCCACCACTAAGAAAACGAAGAACAACTATAATTTTACCAGATTTCTTTACTGGGGTCAGGTAACTAATGTTTTCCACTTTGTAATATGCTGTGCATACCCCACCCCCCATTGATGTGCTAAAACTTATTAGCCAGTTTTCTGTTACTGGGACACTTATGTAATGTCCGGGATTTTGGATGTGTGTTTGTGTGTGTGTGCACGTGCCTCTGTATTAGAAATGTCACACTGCTTGTCTTGCCCATGCTCCTGGCCACCCCAGCGTCAGCTGTTTGGATCACATATAAGCCCAGAATTAGCCAACCAGTGACATATTACCAGTGATTCCATATGAGAAAATGCTATGGGCCAAATTCATTTTTGGTGAAAACATATACTTAAGAAAGGTAATTAAGAGTAAGGGTAGAAACTAAGAATTTTTTTAGAGATGCCATGAAGTAGGAGGAGCTAGGCTAAAAGGGCTGTGGCAAGCTTAAGCCATATACAAGAGATATGAGGGAGTAGAATTGTTGGGTAAGTTGAAGAAACCAACTCAGGGGAGTATAGAAGAGGAGAGAGAGAGAGAGAGAGAGAGAGAAAGACAGACAGACAGAGACACATAGCAATAACAAGAGAACATGATTGACTGATTATGCAGCCCATGAAAAAGACAAATGGGTGGGCCCTCAAGTCACCTCCATTTCTACCAAGTTTTCAGTTCCTCACTTCTTTTTACAAAAAGACCCACATATTTCTATGCCTGTCCTTGAAACTAAATAAACCTGACCATTGTAGCTATTATAAACAATGCTGAGACAAATGGCTTTATAAATAGAAATTTCAGAACATCTCTGATTGTTTTCTGAGGTTAAACTACTACAGTGCACTACAATGGTGTGCTTGCTTTTAAGGTTTTAGGTAGAGTTTTGACAAATTTCTTCTTGGAAAATTTCTATTAGTTTACCTTCCAACCAGTTGTATGTGTTTTAAGTACTGAATACCATAGTCAGAATTAGCAGTTATTATTTTAAAGCTTTTGGTGATTTCCTTTTTATTTTACACTGTCTTATTAGTGAAATTGAATTTTTTTTATATAAATTCATTCCTTCTTTTGTGATTTCCCTGTTCTTTGTTCATTTAAAAATTAGATTGCCTTTCTTATTCATTTTAAAGAACTTTAATTAACTTATGTCATATATAATATATATAGAGATAATATTTTTGCCCAATTTATTGCTTGCCTCTTTTTTTGGCTTTAGTATTTTTGTCAGGTCTACATTTTTATATACTCAAATCTGTTATTTCTTTCCTTTATGATTTCCAACTTCACTTACATACTTTGAAAGACCTTTTTCAGTAGAGTATCAGATTATTATTCTTATATTTTCTAGTAGATTTTTAAAAAATTTTATTTTAATTTTTTAAATTTCAGAATACTATGGGGGTACAAACATTTTGGTTATATATAGTGCCTTTGCCTCGCCCAGGCCAGGGCTACAAGCTTGCCTTTCTCCCATACAGTGTACACGTCATTCATTAGTTCTGAGTTTACCTACCCCTATAACCTCCTCCCACCTGTCTGGCACCCAGTGAATATTACTTCCAGGTGTGCTCGTTAATGTTGATCCAGTAGTACTAATTTGATGGTGAGTACATGTGGTGCTTGTTTTTCCATTCTTGGGATACTTCACTTCAAAGGATGGGCTCAGGCTCTATCCAGGATAATATAAGAGGTGCTACTTCACCATTGGTTTTTGTAGTTGCTAGTATTCCCCATGGTATACATATACCACATTTTATTAATCCACTCATGTATTGATGGGCACTTGGGTTGTTTTCACATCTTTGAACTTGTGAATTGTGCTGCCATAAACATTTGAGTGCAGATTTTTTTTTTTATAGAATGTCTTTTTTTCCTTTGGGTAGATGCCTAGTAGCTGGATCAAATGATATTTCTATTTTTAGCTCTTTGAGATATCTCCAAATTACTTTCCACAAGGGTTGTACTAATTTGTGATCCCACCAGCAGTGTAAGAGTGTTCCTGTCTCTCCATATCCATGCCAGCATTTGTTGTTTAGGGACTTTTTGATAAAGACCATTCTCATTGGAGTTAGGTGATATTTCATTGTGGTTTTGATTTGCATTTTCCTAATGATTTCCCTAGAGATGTTGAGCACTTTTTAATATGTTTGCTGGCCATTATTCTGTCTTCTTTTGAAAAGTTTCTGTTCATGTCCTTTGCCCGCTTATTGATGGGGTTGTTTGATTTTTTTCTTGTTGATTTTTTTGAGTTCTAGATAGTTGTTATCAGCCCCTTAGCAGATGTGTGGAGAGCAAATATTTTCTCCCATTCTGTAGGCTGTCTGTTTGCTCTAATGATAGTTTCCTTGGCTGTGTGGAAGCTTTTTAATTTGATCATGTTGCATTTATTTATTTTTGTTGCTGCTGTGATTGCTTTGGGGGTCTTCTTCATAAATTCTTTGCCTAGGCCGATGTCTGAAAGGGTCTTCCCTACATTTTCTTCTAGGATTCTTAAGGTTTCATACCTTAGGTTTAAGTCTGTTACACATTTTGAGTTGATTTTTGTGAGAGGTGAGAGGTGGGGATCCAGTTTCAATCTTCTGCATGTGGTTGTTTGGTATTCCCAGCACCATTTATTGAATAAGGATTCTTTTCCCCAATGTATGTTTTCCCCTGCTTTGTCAAAGATGAGATGACAATATGAGGATGGTTTTATATCTGGGTTCTCAGTCCCGTTCGAAAGGTCTATATCTCTGTTCTTGTGCCAGTCCCTTGCTGTTTTGGTTACTATAGCCTTGTAGTAAAGCTTAAAGTCTGATAGACTGATGCCTCCTAATTTATTTCTTATTTTAATACTTATCTCTTTAATACAGTAGAATGTTTTGGTGTTTGTAAATAAAATAATGGGGTTGGCATACATTCTCTTTTTTCTTTTATTATTTATTGATTCAGAAATTATAACTTTGATGCAAAGTCCTAATGTTGTTTTTTTGGAATAGTTTATCATTTGCCTTAACAACCTCAATTATAATCTTTAATTTGAAATCGAATTCGAATTATTTATTAAATTTGATGTATACTTGGCCTTGATTTCTGGTTTTCTCCTCATGTTCATTGATCTGTCTGACTACTCATGTGTCAGTACTACCTTATTTTAGTTTGGGTAGTTTTATAATTTTTATATCTGATGTTACAAATGCCCCCTCATCCTTTTTTCTTAGTTTCTTTGGCTATTTTTCTTCATTTATCATTTCAGATTAACTTAAGATTTTTTTGTCAAGGTGCAAAAAATAAAAGGTACTTTGGAATTTTAGTTGGGATGACATTAAATATATATATTTTTTATGGGTGGAAGTGACATCTTTACACTATTGAGTTTTTCATAAGATGATATGGTTTATCTCTCCACTTTGCTCTTTGTTTAAAAATTTTTTATTTTTTTGACATATACATATTTATGAGGTACATAGTGATTTTTTTTTTTTTTTTTTTTTGAGACAGAGTCTCGCTTTCTTGCCTAGGCTAGAATGAGTGCCGTGGTGTCAGCCTAGCTCACAGCAACCTCAAACTCCTGGGCTCAAGCGATCCTCCTGCCCCAGCCTCCCGAGTAGCTGGGACTACAGGCACGAGCCACCATGCCCGGCTGATTTTTATATATATTAGTTGGCCAATTAATTTCTTTCTATTTTATGGTAGAGACGGGGTCTCGCTCAGGCTGGTTTTGAAACTCCTGACCTTGAGCAGTCTGCCCGCCTCGGCTCCCAGAGTGCTAGGATTACAGGCGTGAGCCACGCGCCCGGCCCATAGTGATATTTTGATATGCATAATGTACAGTGATCAGATTAGGATAATTAGCATATCCATTATCTCAAACATATATCATTTATTTGTATTGGGAACATTCAATATTCTCCTTCTAGCTATTTGCAAGTATAAGATATATTATTGTCAACTGTAATCATCTCATAGTAGCATAGAATGCTAGAATTTATTTCTCTTATCTAGTTGTAATTTTGTATCCTTTGACAAATCTCTCTGGGGAGGTCTTTAAAGATTTAGTCGTATAGGTCCTTTCTATTTCTTGATTAGTTTTATTCCTAGGTATTTCTGATATTAACAGGCCCCCTTCTCTTATTTTTCTAATTTGTTATATTTTCTAATTGGTTTTTACTAGCAGGAAAAGCTATTTTGTTTGTATTTTTGACTGGTTATTGATATTCAGAAAAAAATTCATTTGCTTATTTTTACTTACTGTTACATATTTTTGTTCTTGGTTGTGTTGAATTTTCTGTGTAAATAGTCATCATCTGTAGATGATAAAATGTTGATTTCCTTTCTGGTATTTACAATTTGGATTTATTTTTCTTGTGTAATTGCAGTGATAGACCTTTCAGAATAATTTTAAATAATAAAGATGATAGTGTACACCTTTGTCTTGCCCCTGACTTGACTGGGAATGCACATAACCTTCCAGGGTTATGTAGTCCTCTCTTGGTATAGATGGAGGGTTGGTTCTAGGATGCCCTGCTAATACCAAATCCATGGATGCTCAAGTTCCTGTGTAAAATGATGTATTTGCATATAACCTATGCGCATCCTCCTGTATACTTTAAATTATCTCTAGATTACATATAATACCTAAAACAATGTACATGCTATGTAAGTAGTTGTTATATTGTGTTATCTTTTATTTGTATTATTTTTATTTGTTGTACTGTTATTTTTCATTTATTTATTTTTTGAATATTTTCAATCTGTGGCTGGTGGATTTCATGGATACAGAACACATGGATATGGAAGGCTGGCTATATATGATTTTGGCTATTGGCTTGAAGTAGGTAGTATTTATTATTTAAATGGAGTATATTTTTAGTCCTAATAGGAATGAAAAAAATAAGAATGAGTGTAATGTTTTATAAGTAGTTTTTTGACAGCTATTGAAATAATTATATTATTTTCCTTTCATCTATTGATGTACTGGGTTATATTAAATAATTCCCTAACAATAAACTCAAGTTCCTGGAATGAACACTATTTAGTAACGCTGTATTTTTCTTTTGATATGTTTCTGGATTCTGTCTCCTGGTGAATATACTTAAGTGAAAAGAGAAGTGATAGGGGCCTCATGTAACTCCAGTAGTTTAAAAACTCTCCCCCATGAGCCTGCATTTCAGAATAATATTAACATTATCTACCCTACATAAGAAACAAAAAATGCCATTATGTTTTGGGATCAATTTATACAATAACCATTAATCTATTTTAGAGCATGTAAGCTTCAGCACTATGCAAATCTCAACCTCACTTCTAAAATTAAATGTTAGTGATAAATTAAATGTCAAGTGGTTGCTACTTCTAAACAATGTTAAAATTAAAACCTCTCAGGAAGACCATAGTTTTTTTTATTTTTATTTTTGAGAATAGGGCTTAATTTACTATGTTTTGCTATGTTTTGCTCAATACAAAAAAGACTGAATTTATCTGATAAGGCAGTCTTATTATGGGGATAGCCACCATCTCTCACCGTTAGTTCCCCTTCCTATTTCCCCACCTGCTAAATGCCATAACCCCACCATTTACTTACCAGTAATGTGTTTATTACTATTTGAAGCATCTAAACCTAACTGAGATGATAATTTAGAGAGCTGGACAAAATAAATTAACTTCCAGCACAGTGAACTTAAATGTTTCCTTCAAAAGGAAGAATGTTAAAGTATCTGCTCCACTTTATGAACTTAGTGTTGCTTTTTTTCCTCTTCATTTTTAAATTTCAAGAAAGGTCACATTCCTATAAAACTTGAAATCTAGGAAATGAAAAAGTTCTTATTACAAAAACATCAACAATCCCAGTTTTCTGCCCAATAGATAGGAGACTTGATTCAATTAGGCCTTTTGCGGCTGGAAGAGAGAAGGGGATGAAGTGAAGAATGCCTTTCCATTCTGTGCAAATAGCTACTTTGCTCTTTTGTTGTCAGTGTTCTTGTTGTGAGTGGATTGATATTATTCTTTCCGGGGCAAAATAACCCTCTGGAGCTGGCCTTACATTTTGTTCAAATTGTCTTCGGCTTGGCATAAAAGATCATTAGTTCTAAGGCAGTAGCTCCTGGAGGTACCAGGCAGAAAGCAGAGGTTTCTTTCCTTTATGCCAAGGTCATGGACACGCCAAAGGCGAGGGAAGAAATGATAAATATGTAACACAGAAATATCCCTACCCTTTTCACATGAGGAAATTAAAGCAAAAATAGCATCCAAAGATGACATTTTTACTTTAAAAAAAATACCAATTTCTCAAAAATATATGTTAGGAATTTATATAAGGATGATGAACTAGAAAACATTTTTTCCTTTCATTGGAAAAAAATTTATAGCAAAATTAAATGAACACAGTGGAGATACTCTTGTACAAAGTTTTATATTCAGAAAATATTACCCATTGAAAATGACATCTTTAGTTAAAAGGTAGCTATGTTCAATTCTGCTTAGACAAGCTTTTCGATTTGCTAAAGAGAATTATTCATCTTAATAGCAATGCTTCTTTAGTAGGCTACTGTTTACACTGATGTCATGAAAAAAATACATTGTACTGCCATTATTAAAAAAAGAATAATTTGTACCATCATTTGAATGGGTTACTCATTTTCATAAAGCTTTACATGAACTGGGGATCAGAATCTTTTTCCATTAAAACCTTGTGCTTCATCAAAACTAGAACACAGAACTAGCATTAACAATTGGGATTAATCTGCAAGAAAATATAACTTACAGAATTTTCCTTTAGGCTTTATTTAACAATAGTTTAATAGTTTAAATAGAAGTTTCTGTTTGACATCTTAAGAGGCAGTGCTTTAAGCATTACAAACATAATGCTACCAATTAGGGTGGCTATGATGGCAGATTTTCCATTTCCATTTTTGTATTCAGGGATTTATTAGTTTGATTTCTTAAAAAAAGACTGTTCATGATTGATATAAAAGATATGACCTCAATAAATTAGCTACAAACTGTTAAGTACAGTATACAAACAGGTAAAGTAAGACCATCCCAAAGCAAAGTTCTAGGACTTCAGAAAGCTTTGGTTGAGATCATAGAGACTGAGTCTTAAAAGATTTCATACTGTTAACAGTTAATGGTATTATCTTGTCCTTCAGGTTGCCTCCTCTAGAAATACTTATTATTAAAATTAGAAAAATCAAAAACTTTTCCTTAGCATCTGAGGTATCACAGAGAGCGCTCTTTTGAGCCCTTGCGGCGGATTGCAGGATGTCTTTAGGATGAATTTGACCTGTGTGGAGAGACTTGTATCCGTGACCAGCGTCCGCCTCCACAGATGGCAAGGGACCTGATTGGACCCGCACTGCCGCCTGGCTTCAAGGCCTGCAGGACAGCAGAGGACAGAGGACGAAAAGCGGGACCCCAGCCCAGTCGTAGGACCAGCTTTATTCAGGAGTACTGGGTGGCTAGAGTACAGATCAGAAGTGGAGTTAGCTGTAGAATCTTCTGTACTTTTTGAATTTATAATCATATAAATATATTTTCTATGTAAAAATTAATTGAGACTTATTGGAGGAAACAGTATTTGGATATGTCTTTTACAGTTCTGTTCACACCTATTTTCTTTTTTTAGAATAGTAAAGATATCTTATTGAGATTTCATTATATAATATGTTTGCTTTCTAACTGCTCTTTCTTTCATTAGAGTATTTAAACATTCTGATCTTGTGTAGTTTTTTACCTAATGAAAATTTAAAATAGCACTCAACAATATTAAAAATAAGGTTATTCTTTTTTTCCCCTAACTTATCACAAAAGAGCAGTTTTCACAAAGATGTCAATTTTCCAGAAAACTGAAAAATTTCTCAAGTATTTTCAGCTGATTCCTTTAAGTCTTTAGTTTAATATTTTTCTGATATAATACATTTTAATCTGTCTTCCAATATATAAGACTTACTTCTGTTTCATATCTCATTGTATGAACTAGAATTTCTAGAACTATGTAAGATAGTGATTTATTTACAGTAGAGCTTTTGATGATAGAAGTGTCTGTATTGTTTCATCATTAATCATGATACCGGAAGACAGGTTTTATCTTGTCAGCAAAGTATCTTTTTATTACTTTTGAAAGAATTTTAAAAATTAAAATGAGTTTCAAATTTTTTCAATTGCCCTTTTGATATTTGTTGTAATAAACATTTGTGAGAGGTATAAAATAATAACAGATTTCTATTGCTAAGTCTTCCTTATAGTCCTTGGATCAACTCTGTCTAGTTAATTTTGATTTGAAAAAATCCATTTGTGAATATTTTACTTAGGATTTTCACATCTATATTCATAGAAAGGATAGATTGTAGTTTTCTTTTTGGTTTTGGCTGTTATGTCATCTATGTCTTTTGATTATTAGGTCCATGTCAATTAATTAATTTCATTTATTATTTTATGTTTTCAAAATTATAACATGGGAATTAACCATTCCTTGAAAGTTTGAAAGAATTCTCCAATGAGTTAATCTGCATGGAGATTTTTGTTTTCTAGGTACTTCTTTATTAATGTGCTCCAGTTTTCTTTACTTCACTTCATTTTTTTTTCAGATCTGTAGAAACTTCCAATGTGTAGATGCTTCTGTTTTGAATTATGACTGTGATGTTCAGAAAAAGTGTCATGGACATGGGGTAGGTAATACTCTTTTTTGGTTTGTTCATGAAGGTAGTGCTGAATAAAGAGAATTCCCAGGGATGATTAGATGAGAATTCCTAAGATTTTTAGATGTTTAGATTTTTAGATTTAGATTCCTGCTAAATTTTTCATTCTTAAAAAGAGTTTTTGTAAGTTTGTATGAATTTAGACTTTTCTCTTGGTTTCCATTCTTGAGTTGATTATACAGAGCAACATTCACAATTAACAAAAGTGGTATTTTGATTGTTTTGAAGGTATGTAATAGCAATAAGAATTGTCACTGTGAACATGGCTGGGCTCCCCCATATTGTGAGACTAAAGGATACGGAGGAAGTGTGGACAGTGGACCTACATACAATGGCAAGTAATATGAAAGAAAATTAATGTTATCTCCCAGTGACCCAAGTCATAAATTGGGCATCCTTGTACCTCTCCCTTACTTCCCATATCAGTTACACATTTAATTATGTTGATTTAGCCACCTAAATTCCTTGTAAATGTTTCCACTTTTTTTTATTCCATTTATAACTTTCAGTTTCTTGCCTAAAGTTACATAATAGCCTCTTACCTGGGCTCCCTATTTCCCATTTTGTTTCCTGTAATCCATGTTTCCCTGTACATTATAGAGTTTTAGTGTTTTCCTTCAAGTTTTATGTCAGTATCCTGCTTTAAATTCAGTGCATCTGCATTGTTATTAGAATGAAGTCCACAAATCCTTAACGTAGCTTAAATGCCTTGCATGATTTGTCTCTAGATTACCTTTCCAGCCTCATTTTACTATGCTTAAAACATATTGTAACTTATTTGATTTCCTCTAATAGGTTACTCTTTTGCCTCTGGACTTTCATGTCATATTATTTTCACATTGTTGGAACTGGGGTAATTGCTACTTAGGCCTCAGTTTACACCTTGTTTTCTAAAGAAAGTTTTCCCTGGCTGCCTAAATCTGAATTAATTTGCCCCTTCTATTTGCTTTCCTAGTACTGGTAGCATTATCACATACTATAGTAATTACTTATTTACTTCTTTTATTGCCTGGTAGACCATGTGCTCCTTGTTTACCAGTATCTTCCTACTGAGAACATGGGCTTTCTTTCTCTTGGGTAAATACTAGGTGGAATGACTGGCTCTTCTAATATGTATGTGTTTAGCTTTTTAGGAAACTGTCAAACTGTTTCCTAAAGTGGTTATACCATTTTACATTCTCCCTAGCTGTGTATGAGGGTTCTAATTCCACCACATCCTCTCTTAAGACTTGGTATAGTCAGTCTTTTTAATTTTAGCCATTCTGGTAGGTATTTAGTAGTATTTAATTGTGGTTGTAATTTGCATTTCTCTGATTACTAATGATGTTGAGCATCTTTTCATGTGCTTCTTTTTTATCCACATATCTTCTTTGGTGATGTGCCCTTTAAATCTTTTTCCGGTTTTTAATTGGGTTGTTTGTCTTACTGAGTTTTGAAAGTTCTTTATATATTATTGATACAAGTCCTTTATTAAATATGCACTTTGCATATATTTTTTTCCCAGTGTGCTTACTTTGGGTTTCATTTGTTCTTTTTCTAGTTTCCTTAGATGAAAGAGGAGGTCATTGAATTGAGACCTTTTTTCTTTTTTAATATAGGCATTGCAGTGCTATCAATTTTCTTCTAACTGATTGCACAATTTTGATATGTTGTACCTTCATGTTTACTCAGTTCAAAACACGTTCCAATATGTTTTCATTTTTTCTTTGTCTCAGGCTATTCAGAAATGTGTTACTCGTTTTGAACTATCTGGAGATTTTCTAGATATCTTCATGTTATTGATTTAAATATTGTTCTCCTGCAGTCAAAAAACATATTTTGTATAATTTGAGTCCGTTTATATTTTTTGAAACTTGTCCTGTGGCCCAGAATGTGGTTTATCTTAGTAAAAGTTCTGGGTGCATTTGAAAAGAGCATGTATTCTACAATTGTTGGGTAAAGTGTTATATAAATAATTAATTCATGTTAATAGATATTCAGATCTTCCATGTCTTTACTAATTTTATGTCTACCTATTATGTCAATTGAGACAGGAATATTGAATTATCTGGCTATCACTGCTATTTTGTCTATTTCTCCTCACAATTCTATCAATTTTTCTTTATGATTTGTGACACTCTGTTACTAGCTGCATAAACATTTAGAATTGTTCTATATTCTTCATAAATCAACTCCTTTATCATTATGAAATAGCCCTCTTTATCCCTAGAAATATTCTTTGCCCTGTAATTAGATATTAATGTAGCCACTCTTGATTACTTTTAATTAGTCAGCTAGAGAAATCTTTCGCATCCTTTTACTTTTGTTTATGTTGTAGGCAGCATATAGTTGGGTCATGCTTTTTTATCCAGTCTTCCTATCTCTGCCTTTTAATTGAGCTGTTCTAACCATTTATATTTAATTTGATTATTGATTATTAATGTTTAAATGTACTATCTTGATACTTTTCTATCATAGTCTTCCTAGTGATACCATAAGACTTTAGTCAGTATTTCAGTTTCTCTTTTTGGCTTCTTGTGCCATCGTTGTCATGTATTGTATTGCTACATAAGTTATAAACCCTATAAGTCATTGTTATTAATTTTGCTTTGAATAGTTGATTACCTTTTAAAGAGATTTAATAATAGATAGGGTATTCATATTTACCCATATAGTTGTCATTTCTGGTGTTCTTTATTTCTTTGTGTAAATTTAGATTTCCTTCTGGTATCATTTAATTTCTACTTGAAGGATTTATTTTTTACATAGTATATAATACAGATGTGCCAGTGACAAATTTATTTTTGGCTTTTATATGTCTGAAAGAGTCTTTAATTTGCCTGCCTTTTTGAATTTAACTGGGTAAAGAATTCTGGGGTGAAATTCACATTTTTTACTTCTGAGGGTATTCCTACATTGTCTTCTGGCTTACATTGTTTTTCCTAAAAAATATGCTGTCATCCTTTTCTTTGTACTTAATGTCTTCTGTATATAAAGTATCCTTTCCCCCTGTAGTTGCTTGTAAGATTTTTCTCTTTATCTCTGCTTTTTAGTAATTTATTATAGTGTGCCTTGGTGTGCTTGGGATTTGTTGAGCTTTTTAGATCTGTGCTTTTATAGTTTTGTTCAAATTTGGAAAATTTTTGTCTGTTATTACATCAGATATTTTTTCTGTTTTCTTTTTTTTTCTTCTCGCCTTCAAGGACTCCAATTTTATGTATATTTGGTCACTTGAAATTCTTTTACATCTCACTGATTGGCTGTTGATGTCTTTATTCTCCATGTTTAATTTTGAGTAATTACTATTTACATAATCTTTCTTTGGTGAGGTCTAATTTGCCATTAGTTTGATCTAGTGTATTTTTTATCATAGACATGATAGTTTTTATTTCTATAAGTTCTGTTGGTTTCATTTCTATATCTTTTACAACTTTACATAACATATTCAGTCTTTATTCTAGTTTTTTTAAACAAATGTAATACAGCTGTAATAACTAATGTCCTTGTCTACTGTTCTGTCATATGTATCATTTCTCAGTCAGTTTCAATTGATTTTTTCCCCCTCTTTTTGGGTCATATTTTTCTGCTTCTTTGTATGCCTTATAATTTTTTACCAGATGCTAGAAATTGTAAATTTTACCTCGTTGGGTATTATATTTTTGGATTTCTATTGATGAGCTTTGTTCTAGTATGCTTAGGTTACTTGGATATAGTTTGATCCTTGAGGGTATTGCTTTTAAGTTTTTAAGGCATGTCCTGAAAAGCATTTTAGTCTAGGGCTGATTTTGCTCCATTACTGAAGCAAAAACCCTTATGTTTATTGTGCTCAATGCCACTTGAATTTGAGGTTTTTCTACTGAATTGTAGGAACAAACATTCTTCCCAGTCCTGTGTGAGGACTGTTCTTACTGATCTTTTTGCATAGTTCTTTTTTCAGCTTTAGGTAATCTCTTTACATGCATACATTGATCAGTATTGAACTGAATATTTGAGGGGAACCCTCTGCAGATCTTTCAGGTTCTCTTTCTCTCTCTGTGTAGCTCTCTTCCCTCTGGTACTTTGCCCAGGAAACTCTAGCTGCCTTGGCCTCTCCAGAATACCAGCTTCATCTCTTTAAACTCAGGAAACCACTGGGTTTTTTTGGAGTCCACCTCATTATGGTTTGTTAACTTTCTTTCGGCAGTAAGATGGGGCAATTGTGAGGTTCACCTTATTTTTTTTTTCTGGCTCTCAGGGATCGTTCTGTGTTGCCTTATGTCCAGTGTCTTGAAAACAGCTGTTTCATATATTATGTTTGATCTTCTGGTTATTTTAGCTGACAGAATAAATCTAGTCCCTGTAACTCCATCTTGGCTAGAAGTGAATTGGATTCAATATGGATTTCAATGGATGTGTTTTATTTCATCCAGTGGATGTGTTGGAACTTCACTTAGCTATTTTCTAATTATTTGACATCTAAATTGTTTCTAAGTTTTTGATATGCACCATTATCATTGTAGTGTACATCTTCATGCATATGCATTTTTTCCAGGTGAAGAATAAATTGCCAGTAATGAGATTAGTTTGAAGGATATAATCTTTTTTATGGTTCTTGATAAAAATTCCTAAAGAATTATGCCTTTGTGTATTGTCACTAACCGTGTCAAGGTATCAAATTTCATCATAATCTTGCCAGTGTTGATGCCTTAATTTAAATTTTGTCTACTTATTAGTAAGTATAAAATGATATATCAAGCTTGCTTTACTTTTTTATACAGTTGATCCTTGAATAACATGAAGGTTAGGAGCACTGACCCCCTGTGTGGTCAAAAACCCACATATAACTTTTGACTTTCCAAAAACTTAACTATAAATATCCTACTGTTGACCAGAAGCCTTTTCAATAATATAAACCAGGCGTCCTCAAACTATGGCCCATGGGCCACATGGGGGTGTTTTTGCCCGTTTGTTTTTTTACTTCAAAATAAGATATGTGCAGTGTGCATAGGAATTTGTTCATAGTTTTTTTAAAACTATAGTCCAGCCCTCCAACGGTCTGAGGGACAGTGAACAGGCCCCCTGTTTAAAAAGTTTGAGGACCCCTGACATAAACAGTTGGTTAACACATATTTTGTATGTTGTATGTGTTACATTCTATATTCTTACAATAAGTAAGCTAGAGAACAGAAAATGTTGTTAAGATAATTATTAAAAAGTCAAAAAATAACATGTTGGTGTGGATGTGGATAAAAGGGAGCACTTATACACTGTTGGTGGGAATGTACATTAGTACAACCTCTGTGGAAAACAGAACTACCATTTGATCCAGCAATCCCAATACTGAGTGTCTACTCAAAGGAAAAGAAATCATTATACCAATCAGATACATATACTTGTATATTTATCACAGCACTATTCACAATAGTAAGGATAGAGAATCAACCTAAGTGTCCCTCAATGGATGACTGAATAAATAAAATGTAGTATATTTACACACTGGAATACTATTTAGCTATAGAAAAGAATAAAATTATATCTTTTGCAGCAACATGGGTGGAACTGGAGGCCATTATCTTAAGTAAAACAACTCAGAAATAAAAAGTCAAATATTGCATGTTCTCACGTATATGGGAGCTAAATAATGTGTACATAAGGACATAGAGTGAGGAATGTGTCTTGGAGACACAGGAGTGTGAGATCATGGGTGATGAGAAATTACTTTATGGGTACAATGTACATTATTTGGGTGATGGATGCGCTAAAAGCCCAGACTTCACCACTATGCAATATATCCATGTATCAAAATTGTACTTGTACCCCTTAAATTTATACAAATAATAAATAAAATCAAGAAGAGAAAATATACTTAGTGTATTTGCTATTCAGTAAGTGAGTCATTGTGAAGGTCTTCATTTTGTCATCTTCACGTTGAGTGGGGTGAGGAGGAAGATGAAGAGGAAGGGTTTGGTCTTGCTGTCTCACGGATGACAGAGGTAGAAGAATAGCTATATATAAGTGGACTTGTGTAGTTAAAACCCATGTGATTCAAGGGTCAGCTATATTGATTTTTTTTTTAATTTCAGCATATTATGGGGGTACAAGTGTTAAGTTTGCGTATATTGCCCTTCCCTCCCCCTCCCCCTTTGGGTCAGAGCTTCAAGCGTGTCCATCCCCCAGGTGGTGCACATCGTACTCATTATGTATGTATATACCCATATCCTCCTGGCGCCCCCCCCACACCTGCCCGATGCCTGATAAATGTTAGTCCTATACGTCCACTTAGGTGTTGATCAGTGAAACCAATTTGCTGTTGAGTATATGTGGTACTTACTTTTCCATTCTTGGGATACTTCACTTAGTAGAATGAGTTCCAGCTCTGTATTTTGATTTTGAATTGGGAAAAATGTTTCATATAGTTTTATACAACTTTTAACAGAAATTTCTAATACTTTTACAAATTTAGAATTATGAGGAAAATTTCACAGTTTACCACTTGTGTTCATGTCTACTATATTGTTTCCCTTAAAGCAGCGGTACCCAGCCTTTTTGGCCCGGGGACGATTTTCATAGAAGACATTATTCCACAGACTGGGGAGGAGGATTGTTTGAGATGATTCAAGTGCATTAAATTTATTTTGTACTTTATTTCCATCATTATTACATTGTAATATATAGTGAAATAATTATACAACTCACCATAGGTTGGGGGCCCCTGCTCTAAAGAACAGAGAACAGATAAAATTAATGTTAACTAATGAATTTTTAAAAGTTATAATGAAACTTAAAATCCAGAAGCCCTAAAAAATAAGATCGATAAATTCAACTATATAAAAATAATAAACTTCTGCATGGAAAAAAGCATTGTACTATCAGACAAAATGGGGAAAATACTTTTAACTCTTACTATAGACAAAGCTAATATCTTTAATATTTAAAGAACTTTTAGAGACTGAGAAGAAAAAACTTGAAAGTCCAATAGAAAAATAGTCAAAGGACTGAGCAGAAAAAAGAAATTACAGTGTTTCTGTAAACAAGAAAAGGTGTTAAACTCATAGTATAAAAAAATAAATGTAGGTTAAAATTATATAAGATGTAATTTTTCATCTACTAGGATGGCAAAAATCCAAAAGTTTGGCTCTGAAGATGAGGCTCTAGGGAATTCTTACACATTGTTTGTAGGTGTGCGATATTGTCATGGAGAACAATTTAACAATACTTGAAAGAATGATGGATGTATTTGCCTATTGATTCAGCAATTCTGCTTTTGGGAGGTGATTCTGTAGTTATGCCTTGTGCCCATATGATATGACATATGTATAAGGTAATTCATTATAAATTTTTTTTGTAATAGCAAAAGTTTGAAAAAATCAAAGTGTCTATCAGTAGGGTTCTGGTAAACTATAGAACATCTTTACAATGGAGTTTTGTATAGCTATATAGCAAATGAGGAGGCCTTCTATGTACAGATAGGTAAAAAAAAAAAAAAAAGATGTGCCAAATAGTGTTTATAGTATGCTACTTTTTGTGTAAGAAATGGTTGACAGTAGTAACATATTTTGTTCTTCCTTATATTTGCATGAAGAAATACTATAAGAGGACATAGGAAACTAAAAAGTTGTTTTTGTGAGAGCAGAAATAAGTGGACAGGGATGAAATGTGAGCAAGACTTCTTAGTGTATTCAATTAATTATCAGTTTGATTTTTGAATAATGTAAAAGTGAATGTAAAACATTTATAATCACCTAATATGCTCTGGGTAGTATGAGTTTAATGACCATTAATATAAAATCCTTCTCTCTAGAAAAGAATACTGCATTGAGGGATGGACTTCTGGTGTTCTTCTTCGCAATTGTTCCCCTTAGTCTGCTTGCGGCTTTTGTCTTCATCAAGAGAGATCAGATACGGAAAAGCTACTTCAGAAAGAAGAGATCACAAACATATGAGTACTTAGATTTTTTTCTTTTAAATCTATATCAAATAATTTAAAGTAATTATTAATGACTATAATCATATCATAGAGGTTGGTAATTTGTTAAAATCAGGGTTCTAAGTTATCTTTCTATTCTTTTGACATGATTAGCATGGGTAAACGTAGTGGTGACTAAGCCACTTCTTCTAATGAATGGAGAAGGTAAAGGATTATGGTGACTAGTCTTTATATTGCTGAAAGTGGCCCTTGCTTCTATTGGTTTCTCATAGTGAGATAAGTAGAATTTTGCCTATGACATCGATTTGAGCTTCCTAATTAGAGATTAAAGTATGAGATAAAGATAAAAAATGTAAATGTTGAAACATTTTCTTCTATTTATTTCAAGTATCAGTTCTCATAGAGTGAGAATTTTTCAATTCTCAGTTTTGAAAACAGATTTTGTGAATTATAAGCTTTTAAGAAACAAGTTTTTCACATATACTATTTATTTTCTCTTTTTTAACCAGTAATGTGACCACATAAGAAATATTTTAATAGAAGAAAGTTAAGGTTGTCATAATTCAGACACCTGACATTTCTAGTCTATATGTTGGACTCTTGTATGACTATATCTGAGCTATCACTTCTAATACATTGGCAGTAGAATGTAGCATGCGTTAGCATGGACTTTGTAATCAAATCTGAGTTCAGTTTCTGGGTTTATCATTTGCTAGAATTATGAGCTGAAACTATAAATAAAGCTCTCTGAGCTTCGGTTTACTTTCTCTAAAATGGGAATAATAATATTACCTATCTCATAGGGTTAATGTAAAGATTAAATGAGGAAATACTAACACAAAGCCCATTGCATATTATGGGCACATTATAATTACTTAATAACAATGTTATTGTTTTTTTTTTTTATTTTTTTTATTTATTTTTTTACTAGGTGTAACTACTTTCTTGCCAAACAATGTTATTGTTATGATAATGATTTCCAAATGTCTATATCTAGCCTTCATTGCTAACCTTTGCTTTGTTGTCCTATTTTTCACTTACTATAGTATTTTCCCAGAGTGTCCTGATATTAGCTTTAATTTTTAATGTATTCTGAGAAAGATTTATCTTCCTATTCTTTCTTTATCATCCTTCTTATCACACTTCCAACTGACCTGTCTATACAGATATTTCCCAGTCTGCATCTTTGGAGTTTTACTTCCATAACCACAGCTATCTCCCATATATCTGTACCTAGCTGACTTGCTGTCACCTTAGCATGTCTAAAACTTAGCTGATACCTTTCTAGCCGATGTGTTTGCTGCCCTTGGACTTCCTAATTTTTAGAGTGACTACTTTAAGTTTTTTATATGCAGTCTAGGAATATGTTTTTACTCTTCTCTGATTTTAGGAAGACTTGAGAAGAAAAGTTAATCCTTAATACTCTAAGGATTAAAAATGTGTGAAAGCTGTTAAAAGTACCATAAAAATTTCAGCTATCTTTCATGATCATCACTACTGCTACTGATATTATTATTCTGTATTTGGGAAAATGCAAAGTATGTGTAATATGTCTTGTAGAAATGTTTTAATCTCAGTTTAGCTCAAAAGTAATTGTATCTTTCAGATCAGATGGTAAAAATCAAGCAAATGTTTCCAGACAGCCAGTGAGTGTTCCTCGACATGTTGCTCCAGTGACGAATTCTAGAGAAGTTGTAAGTTTAAAATGAAAAATTCATTTTCTTCACTATATAAAAGTATTGCATGCTTAAAGATTAAAAAATAGTTACATGGATATAAACATAGAATCTTTCTGAAAAATTCAGGAGTATTCTAGGTGGTCTCTGAGTTAATTAAAGAAAAACCAGCAGAGTCCCTGGCTTGGAGGACATGGAAAATGACATCTAGAATTAAGAATGCCTTGCCTTGATTGGGAAATGGCATGGGGCCTATGCTATCACAGTTTTTTGCTATGTCTGCAGTCTTTCTGTTTTTAATATCTGGCTTCTTTAGGGTTTGTTACCAGAGATCTGGTGTTTACTCCTGGATAGGCATAATTGTCTCAGCAATAGGACTGATAATCAGTGTTCCTGTAAGTGTTTTAGAGAGAATTAGAATAATGTTATATTTTTACTGATATGAATATATCCCTAAATAATATATAATGTTAGTTTTTATCTGTTTTTAAACTTTTTAGAATGCCTTAGTTGATATATTACAGATACATCTGCAACCTACTTTTCCCCTAACATTACTTTATTGTTTATCCGTATCGATACGTATAGATGTGATTTCATTGATTTTTACTGTTGATACTGCTACATTTTTTAAATTGCACATACTTTTAAAATTAATTTTCTAATCCTAGATTACAGTTTTTTATTACCTTGAACAAGGTTGAGATGAACATTCTGTAAATATCTTCTTGTGCATGTTGTATGTGTCCTGGATCTGAACTAATATAGTAGTTATTGTTCACATGTGGCTATTTAAATTACACTTCAATTACATAAAATTAAGAATCCTATTCCTTAGTCACACTAACACACTCAACAGTGTGGTTGAGTGTGGTTAGTAACATGTGTCGCTGGCTTATTGTATTGGACAGGACAGATACAGAACATTTCTATCATTGCAGAAAATTCTGATAGCACTGATCCAGGGCATGTACAAATAAAATTTCTGGGGTGGGAGATATGTGAATCTTTATTGAAAATTACCAAATGCTTTTCAAATCATCCAAATACTACACCATTGGATGATTGTATTATCAGTGGTATATGAGCACTCCTGTTGATTTAAATCTTTGCCAACACTTGGTATTATCAGGCTTTCAAATTCTTTCCAATTATGTGGAGATGAAATGATTAGATATCCTTCTTGTTTTAATATATATATATGTATATATACAGAATCTGTCTATTCCACCTTCTTTTCCCTTATAAAAAGGAAACAAAAGTTGTCATGCCCTTTTGCCCCTTAACCATATACCTTAGAGATTTTTCCATATAACCATGTATAGAAGATGGCCACACACTACCTATGCATGCTAGTTAAGAATTACCTGAATACTCTTCTTCATCCTGGCATATTTTTTTCTTATTTTATTGTGGTAAAATATATATAAAATAAAATTTGTCATTTCAAACATTTTTCAAGATTTTTTGTGGTAAAAAACACATTAAATTTACCATCTTAACAATTTTTATATGTACAATCGTGTCAAGTATAATCACATTATTGCACACATAGCTCTTTAAATCTGCAACACTGAAAAAGTCTATTACCACTGATTCCCTCCTCTTCTTACTTCCAGCCCTTGGTAACTACTTTTCTATTTTCTGGTTCCATGATTTTGACTATTTTGGATACTTCACATTAGTGGAATCATACAATATTTGTCCTTTAGTGACTGGCTTATTTCACTTAGCATATGTATTTGAGGTTCAACCATGTTGTAGCATGTGACAGGATTCCCTTCTTTTCTAAGGCTGCACAATTGTATGTGTATACCACACATTCTTTATTCATCTGTTGTGCATGTCATTCATTGGTTGATGGACATTCAGGTTCATCCATCTCTTGGCTATTTTGAATATGTTACAGTGAACATGGATGTGCAAATACATCCTTAAGATCTTGCTTTCAGTTCTTTTGGATATATACCTAGAAGTGGAATTGCAGGATCATATGTAATTCTATTTTTAATTTTTTAAAGAACTTCCACACTATTTTCTGTAATGACTACACCATTTTATATTCCCATCAGTAATGCACAAGGGTTCTGGTTTCTCCATATTCTCACCAACACCTGTTATTTCCTGTTATTTTGATAGTGGCCATTCTAATGGATGTGAGGTGATAGGTTTTTATAGTTTTGATTTGTATTTCCCTAATAATTAGTGATGTTGAGCATTTTTTCATATGCCTGTTTGCCATATGTGTCTATTTGCCTGTTTGTGTCTTCTTTTGAAACATATTTATTCAGGTCCTTTTCCCATTTTCAAATTGGGTAATTTGTATTTTGCTGTTGAGTTGTTTGCATTCCTTATGTATTTTGGATATTAACTTTTTATTGGATATATGGTTTGCAAATATTTTCTTCCATTGCATATATCATCTCTTCACTGTGTTGGCTGTTTCATTTGTTGTATAGAAGCTTTTAGTTGTTGAAATCCCATTTGTCTAAATCTTGCTTTTATTGTCTGTGTTTTGGAGGTCATAGCCAAACAATCTTTGCCAAGACCAATGATAAAAAGCTTTTTCCTTATGTCTTCTTTTAGTAGTTTTACAGCTTCAGGTCTTATGTTTAAATATTTAATCCAATTTGAATTCATTTTTGTATATGATATGAGACAATGAGATAATTGATTCTTCTGCATGTGGGCATGCAGTTTTAACCAGCACTATTGAAAAGACTGTCCTCTATCTATTGTGTGTTCTTGAAGTGTTTGTAGATCAACTGAGCATAAATATGTGGATTTGGGGCTTTCTATCCTGTGCCATCAGTCTATATATCTGTTTTTGTGCTAGTACTATACTGTTTCAGTTATTGTAGCCTTTTAGTATATTTTGAAATCTGGTAATGTGATTCCTTTAGCTTTGTTATTTTTGCTGAAGATATCTTTTGCTATTCAGGGTCTTTTATTGTTCCATATAAATTGTAGGATTATTTTTTCTATTTTTATGAAAAATGTCATTAGAATTTTGGTAGGGATTACATTGAATCTGTAGTTTGCTTTGGGTAGTATGGTCATTTTAACAATATTAATTATTCTAATCCATGAGCATGGGATGTCTTTTTATTTATTTGTGTCTTCAGTTTCTTTCATCAGTGTTTTTTTTTTTTGTTTGTTTTCACTATACTGACATTTCTCCTCCTTGGTTAAACATATTCCTTATTTATTTATTTATGATGTTATTCTAAATGGAATTGTTTTCTAGATTTCCTTTTTAGTTTGTTGTTAGTTAGCAACGTTATTGATTTTTGTATGTTGACTTTGTATCATGCAATTTTACTGAATTTATTTACTCTTAACAGTTTTTTGGTGGAGTTTCTAGTATTTTCTCTATATAAAACCATATTATCTGCAAACATGGAGAGTTTTATGTTTTCTTTTTCAGTTTGGATGCCTTTTATTTCTTTTTCTTGCCTAATTGTTCTGGCTAGAACTTGTAGTACTGTGTTAAGTAGAAGTGGTAAGAATGGGTATCTTTTATTTCTGATCTTAGAGGAGGTTTTCAGTTTTTCATGATTGAGTATGATGTTAGCTGTGGATTTGTGATATATAGCCTTTATTGTTCATGTTCATTCTTTCTATACCTAATTGTTGAGAATTTTTATCATGAACGGATATAGAAATATATCAAATGTTTTTTTTGCATCTATTAAAATGATCATATTTTTTTCTGTTTGTTATTGTGGTATAGCACATTTCTTGATTCGCATATGTTGAAACATACTTGCATGCAGTCTCAATTTAACCATGGTGAAATACACCCTCCTCTCCCCTCCTCTCCATCTCCCCACTTGATTGCCACTGAGTTTTACTTCCTTCTGTGTACACATCTGCTCATTGGTTAGTTCCAGTTTAATGTGAATACATGTGGGATTTGTTTTTCCATTCTTTAGGTACTTCACACAAGATAATGGTCTCCATTTTATCCAGATTGTTGGAAAAGGCATTAATTCATCCATTTTTATGGCCAAGTAGTATTCCATGCTATACATATACCACATTTTATTAATCCACTAGTGAATTGATGGGCACTTGAGTTGATTTCACATCTTTGCATTTTGTGCACATTTCACATCTGTGCATTCATCTTTGCATGAATTGTGCTGCAGTAAACATATGAGTGCAGGTATCTTTTTTGATAAAAAGACTTCTTTTCCTTTAAGTAGATGCCCAGTAGTGGGATTGCTGGATCAAATTGTAGGTCTCCTTTCAGTTCTTTGAAGAATCTCCATACTGTTTTCTTTTACAGTTTGTCATTTATTGTTGGGATTTGACATTTGAAGAACAAGGTACCTCTCCCAGACTTTGCAATCTTGTTTCTCCAAGCTAGAGATTCTGGAGGCCTCAAATCTTTTCTGGGAATATGTCCTCTCTGAGGTTTTTAATGTAATCTCTGAATTATAGAAGTTTGCCAGTTTCTACTCAGGAGCTGCGCCAGGTGCCTGGCCTCTCTGGTATTTTAAACATTTTTAAGAATTCATTAATTACAGTCACAATGTTGTCCTGCACCAATGCTTGTTTCTAATACTTTTTCATTACTCCAAACAGAAATTTTATACCCATGAAGCAATAACTTCCCATTTCCCCTATCTTTACTCCCTGATGACTACCACTCTACTTTCTGTCTTTATGAATTTGTTTATTCTAATTATGTCCTATAAGTGGAATCATACAATATTATCCTTTTGTGCCTGGCTATTTTCAGTTAACATGATTTCTTCAAGGTTTATCAATGTTGCAATACATATAAGAACTTTTGTTAGTTTTTATGGCTGAGTAATATTCCATTTGTTTTAGTCTATTCAAGTACCATAACAAAATACCTTAGGTTGGGTAATTTATGAACAATAGAAATGTTTTACTCACAGTTCTGGGGGCTGGAAAGTATAAGATGAAGGCACTGGCAGATTTGGTGTCTGGTAAGGGCTCACTCTCTGCATCAACAATGGCACCTTCCAGTGATGTCCTAATATGGC